ATGGACATATAAGATTGTGACTGGGTCCTAACCGGCCTTTGGCTATTCATACTGCAACGTAATCAGTGTTAAACGTTCATGATCCACTCCAGGGGATTGCAAGGCTATATCAATAACGAGTAATAAATCTTAACCCTATTCTGTGCAAGCTACTTTATTAGAAAATAAAATTTTAAATGGATACTAACATGCTTAATAAATATATACGACTTGAAAAGAAACAGAAAGCTATTTTTAATTCATAATAATATAATTATAATCAACTTTTGACACAATTATTATGACTTTCAATTTTTCAAGTGGATCATGGTGTAATGGTTGCAGTTCCTTACATATCACTTGTAAACTAAATATGTGGCGATTCAAAACAGTTGCAGAGAGTTTGTTGCCAATTCCTCTCACCCGTTCTATGCTCTTGTAAATTTAACTTTAGAACCATCCATTTTTTTTAATATTAACATTTAAAATGTACATAGTTATATCTATATGAATTTTGATTTGAGTCAAGCGTCAGATTACATCTGTTTCTTCATCATTTTCATGTATAGACAAGTAGATCTCTACACATTCTGACAAACATCTATTTGAATCTGACGATTCACCGAATGTATTGAAAATATATAACAAAAGAATACACCGGACTATTAAAACTAAACAGCTCACAAAGAATATTTTAAAATACAAATAACTTTTATGTTTCACTAAATGACTGCCACAAAATTTGAATTAAACTAATTTACTATTGCCGCACGTCAACGTTCATAAAAATAACTATAAAATTGCGTGATCGTAAATAATTTTTCTTATTTTTACTTCCAAATATATTTCCACAATTAATTGTTCTTTAAATATACGAAGGCGTATATCTAGCTTCAAAATCGTAACACTACTTCTACTAAAGTGATATTCGAGAACCAGCTCTTTTATGACCTGAACGCCTCAAACCACTCATTAGACTATAAAGGAAAAACACATTTTGTATGGCAATCAAGGTTTACAATAATTTACCAAAAGAATTAAAAGATGTTCCGACTAGAGTTTTTAAAAATGGACTTGGTGTATTACTTTTCGAAAAAATTTATTATTCAATAAATTATTATTTGCGTGAGACACTGATACAAATAATATAGATAAGATATGTACAAATAATATAGGAATTGACTAATTCACATTACTAATAATGTAAAATTTGAAATTCCTTTAAAGACAAATTTGCGCGCCATTGTGTGTGTCAGAATGTGCGGGCTTTAAGATTGTACCACCTTACACATTGTACCATATTCTTGCAATTATTATTATAAAATTGTTTCTAATCCACAAAGACCAAATATCTATAACTTCATTATTCTTAAGTATATACTAACCATATGTAGTGCAGCTACAGATTCTTTTACTCGAAACTAATAATAAATGTTCGTAGAGTTATAGAAACACTTAATTGGACTCGACAGAGCTTGAACGTTTTATGAAATTTACAAATAGCTACTAAATTTATTTTTCGCGTGGGCTTCTTTGACGTTCATATGAAGCTTGTCACACATGTTGACAATATTAGTTGTCAATATTATAGTCGATCCCTCCTCCCTCGTTTCAACACCGTACGAGCCGTATTAATTCAAAATGGCATCAGCATCACCTTGATGGCTGGAAGTCTTCCACGTTCCGCTTCACGTTTTCTTTTGCGAACTAGTGAACTGTGGATTTGACTCCCGGTGGGGGTGTTCCCTGGGAGATATGACCTCCAAAAGTATACTCCTCCCTCAAAGGCCGGCAATGCACCCACTTTAATAGATGTACATGGCTGACATGCGATGACTGCCCTTTTTGGGCGTCCCGTAGGATTGTTTGGAAAATATTTTATTATTTTTTTTTTTTGCTTAGGAATGTGTATAAACTAATTAATGAAAAGTAGCCTGTTCACAGTATATATTAGTACAAGATAAGGTAAATAGTCAAAATTTAATAAGGTAAATGTAAAAAGTATATAATGTTCAGTTTAATAAATCTGTTTCGCCGTTATGCAGTATTAATTGTCGCACCGTTGAGGTGTAAAATAAATTTATTCATGCTTAAAAACATTAATAGAGAAATAAATAATAAAAATAACGTATGGATTTTATTTAGTGATATATAAATTTAATATATACATAGATCACCTTTGAAATGTCTCAGTAGCTGTTGCCAATTTATTTTTATAAACGAATTCCTCTAAAATGTTATCACAAGTGTATCGTATGACCGTGGCATTCAAATATGAATTGACAATAAGTTTTTATTAGAACAGATTATTCTGTTGTGATGACAAATTATCATATTTATCGGATTCAAGAAGAAAGTCCCGATGTAGGTAAAGTTTCGTGGTTAAAAAACCTTCAAGAGTCTTTAAAGAAGGGTTAAGTCCCTGAAATTTAATAATTAATTCGTACAATGAATTGTGGGATAATTAATAATAAATCATAATGTCATACTTATTCAAAAGCTAGACTACTGGATGTATTTAAAAATCCCTGTCAAACGGTCCTAGGATGTTGACAGATGTCAGTTCGATCCTAGATGAGTCTAGAACGCGAACTGTCAAAATCAAATACGTTTTTGACATACGAGACGTACCTTTAATAAGAAGCCGAAAAACCTAAGCCCAAAAAATATTACTTTTGTCAACCTAATTAATTTTTAAAGTGAGAATTGAGTGACAAGAACAACATACAATATTCATATTTTAATGGTTATTGCAATATATACGTAAAGTGCAAAATTCTTTAACGTTTACGAACCAAACAAATCATTAAGAGTTGTTTTGAAACGCATTTATTATATACATCAAAAGATTGTATGGCACGAACCCTTTTTTCCGCGAAAATGTAATTTACTTGTTTACATGTCCGCAATTTTGTATTAAATTATTCAACTTTATGCTTTTTAACACTGAATTTATCGTAAAGTGTTTATTTTATGAAACATCGTGAACTTTTTAAAGTGCTTAAAAATTAATTATGTCCATGTGGTTGACTTTAATAAAGAGTTCTCAGTGGAGTCTCAGTTGTACACCGAAACCAATCTGTGTAAGTTTTATTAATAAGATACCAAAGAGTATGTATATTTATCATTAATTATAAGGGTTAGCCTAGTGGCTTCAGCATGTGACTCTCATCCCTGAGGTTCGATCTGGTTGTGCACCAACGGCATTTAACATGCGCACATAGATAAAAAGTACATTCGCTTGAACGGTGAAGAAAAACATCGTGAGGAAACCGGCTTGCCTTAGACCCAAAAAGTCGACATCATGTTTCAGGCACAGGAGGCTCAATCACTTGCCTATTTGATTGACAAACGATCATGAAACAGATATAGAAATCTGAGGCCTAGACCTAAATAGGTTGTAGCGCTACTGGTTTTTTTAAAAATTATTAGCTTTATTTAAATTTAATGTTATACTTACATTATAATCTATATATAAAAATGAAAAGCTGTTCGTTTGTCTCGCTAAAACTCGAGAATGGCTGAACCGATTAGGCTAATTATGTTCTGTAAACATTCGTGGAAGTTCAGGGAAGATTTAAACGATGGGAAACAAAAATAATAAGTAAATGAAAAAATCCTTCAGAAATTTGTGTTCCATAGCCTCAGGTCCGCTCTTTTTGTTCTGTTTGAAAAAAAATTAATCGAGAGTATCGCCATAAATATATGTAGATGATACGAAGTTTGGTCATATAGTTTTTAAATATGTATATACGGTTATATTATGTATCGTGTCAGACACCTATTTCATCGGAGATCGATTGATTTGGAATAGTGTGTCCGCAGAGACATAAGTATTTCTTAACCCAGATTATCCGCCATTGCCGAGTCGATCTGGTGTATGTAAATTTAAAAGCTTAATGGTTATTCTATTTGTCCACAGTTGCAAGTCCGTAACTCTCGTACCGAATCGACAGAAGATGAGAAACACAGCGATGACAGCCGACCGCTCAGTCACGCTTCCGATTTCAGCAGGGATAATATATGTAAGGCATTTTGGTGATTTTCATGTGAATTCAACGAAAATATAGAGATATAAATCTTAATGTTAGGCAGTAATTCTTAAACAAATTGCAGATATTTTAGTTTTGTTTGGAGAGTTGTATTAACTAAATGTGTCTACGGTATTGGGCGTATGGTAATCAGTTATTCATTCATTTCATCCTAATCTTGTCAATAATCCTAATTAGGCCCCTCTGTTGAAGATAAAATTTATTTTGGAAGTACCCTTTTCACTATTGAGTCTCTACCTACTTACTATGTATGAGGCATAGATTCCTCACGAGTGTATAGATGTTCTACGTAGATACCCTGATGATAACACAACACAGCCGAATTAGGTATTTCTTAGTTAAATGTACCTATTGAATATTTATTATTGTTTTTTTCGTAAATTTTTGATACTTTTTGTATATACAGTAAACTCTCGACAATTTGGAACTCAAGGTACCAGAGATAAATTTTAACTTACCAATTATTCTAAATAACAAGCGTTTAAATAACCACGAGGGGGGGACTTAAGTATATAAGGGTTTGATAAAAAATCTTGATTTTTTATTGCTATATATTATTATTATGTATTATAGAGAGTAGGATTGGACTCCAAATTATCGCATGTTGGCGAACTCCAAAGCAAGGGGACCAATTAACATTGATTTTATTCAAGTATTTTTCAAGGGACCGGAAAAAAAATCAATTCATCGAGAATCCACTGAATTATGTGTTCCATCTCTGGCTATACCTTCAGTAAAACTGTTTGTTGCTACATATAATTTATGTTAGCTGTAGGATTACGAAATAAATAACATAATTGATAATATACTTTCAGTGTCTCTCAGCAATGCCCCACGTCGGAGCCGGCGCGGTACAACCACGAGTGAATGGCAGCGACCGCTTACACGATACCTTCCAGTTGACAGAGACGACTTTGATTTACGACGACACGTCGAGTCCGCAGGTAACCGAAACATAACAGATTTATTTAAAAAAATTGTGAATTTTTCAAACAACATCTGCTTTGTAAAGGGCGTACTAGGTAAGACATAGAACGTGAAGGAACATTTTCCCGAAGGTTTATGGATCTTTCGAAATGGTAAGACATAGAACGTGAATGAACATTTTCCCGAAGGTTTATGGATCTGTTTGCCCGTGGTCACTTTCGTAAATAAAAAATTATCGTTGGAATTATATTTTAATAATATTTTAAATTGCTTACTACCTCAACTAACTGCCCCCGCGAAATCCGTTTTATTTAATATGATTTTTTTACTTAGCCTACCTCTTTAGTAACACTTTGTTATGGCATCCCACAGAGACTGTTCGCTTTTCCGGAATAAAAAGAAATAAATTTCCCCTTCAGAGTTCAAGGAATAAATAATAAATACTCGAATCCAAAGCCATCGTCGAGTTTTGCGCTTAGCAACATATTTTGTGATTCATTTTTATTTATATAATTTTATCTGTTTGTTACGTTATATGATTTGTATTTTGTATTATATTTCAGGTCACCAAATCGAATTGTGTCCCTACGTGACGATAAACTCGAGTTCATGCCGAGGTTATTTGCACAAGTTGGGCGCCAAATTCCACACGTGGTCCAAAAGGTACCGTTATTTCTCTAAAGAAAGCATTTATAACAATCTTATTTTATATAAAAACATTATGTGGAAAGCGCATTGGTAAGATTCAAAGTGTAGACTTAACGCGCTCTATGATTCCCGTATGTCAAAATCCAACAGGATTCAATCATACGGGAGACTTAGCGTTAGCCGCTAAGTCTCAACTCTGAATTATAGAAATCAACAACGCATTGGAATTACGAATTGCAATTTATATATACTAATAATTTTAGCAGGTATTTAAATTCAGGACTAATTATTTCGCCAGGAATCAAACTCAGGACCTCATTTTAAATTAGGTTCTAAGTGCTCCTTGAACCAAAGACGTGATTATTACATATAATTTGTATAATATATTGATCTACAGGAAACCAAAACGTAGCTTTATTAAAACATGTTAAAGAAGTAAGGGAGCGTTCAAGTATTACGTCACGCAATTATTGGAGATTATTGAGCCCCCCCATGTAACGCGCCGTAACGTTTTTCTGTACCCAATAGTAAAACGTTTCGTGACCACCCAGTTACTCGTTACATACCTAAAAGTCACCATTATGTGTGTGGTGTAAAGTTTTGCAAAGTCGAAAATAGTATTAACAATAACGCGTAATTCAATCCCCTCCCCGCATCATAACGTTTTACAAATAGAAAAAAATTCGTTACGTAATACATACTTGAATGCTCCCTAACAGCACATGTTTACGTTAACAGTAAAAATATAACTAATAATAATTCCAGGTGGTTCGTTTTTGACCGTGAATCTAAAACGTTCGTCTACTATTGGGACAAGACTGAGAAAAAGCCGCGAGGTGGCGCTTATTTTCAGGTAAATAATATATAACTGATAACAAACAATACTAGACTTTATTCTAATATTGTATTTGCCATTTTAATAGATTAAAATTACCTAAATTTTATTTTTTTTCATTTAACTGTATTGCCATACAAATAATATTGTAGTTAAAATGAGGCAACTCAAATATAATATTTTTGTTTTAGGTAATAGAAGAAGTGTATCTAGATCATGGCAACACGTCGAAATCACCGAATCCACAGACAACATTTATTGTCAAAACTAAACAAAGGCGATACTACCTTATGGCGCCATCTGGTGAAGCCGCTAGAATATGGATAGATGTTATGTTCACCGGCGCTCAGGGATATACAGAATATCTCGAATGATTTGAATATCGATTATATTGGGATTTTTGGGAGCCATTTTAGGGCCCACTATCTTAAGGACCCTTTAAGAGAAGTTCTGTCGGGAGCCTTTTGACCTCCTTTTTAAGGACTTCTTGGGAAAGTGCCTGTTGCCTTACGTCCGGGTTCCATATACAAATTACGAGTCGTAATATGTGTTCATGTGAATGCGTTGCCTACAGGAAAATGTACGCCTTATAGCATTGTGATATCAAACAGGACATTAAGAAGGTTTTATTTGCTGCGCATGCGCATGCGGTTCTTTGGATGAATGGTTCTTATTTTTGGGGATTACCTCATTTTGTATAGAAAATCGTGAATTGGGAGATAATTTTTATAAGTACGAAAAAATTTAATAAATTAACACAAATGCATGGTAAAATATTAATGTTTCCTATAAATACTGTAACAAGTACCTATATTATACAAATTATGTGATATACATTTAAATATACATCTTTATGTAACTAAATTACATACATAATCACATATGAAATGACGTCACATGTTAACTATACCATTATTCATAAAATAATAAACTAATTAATTGCTTGACAAATAATTAAAATTTTGCTCCTAGTATTTGTATTAGTTACTTTTAAAGTACATATATTATATGCTATACCTATTTGTGATATACTTTATGGTATAAGAAACAGTATTCGTTTGTATGCGTTTAATGAATTATTTTACACCAAATTGCTTTAATTAGCTTACAGAAAACGAAAATGTATAAATAAAATAATTATAACATCTAACTATACGTCATCTGTAAGTTGGGTAAAGCAACTGGGATTAATCATAGACAATAAATAGAGATGTGCCAATGTAGTATAAATAATGGCAGCTATTTTTATACGTTCGGTATTTGTGCCTTTTTTAAGACTGAGGTTTTTAAATGGTATTTACTATGAACAGCACTTAATACTGTATAATCAATTATTATACGATTATAAAACTACCTATTTATATAATCTATGCACGCTTATTAATAATGTTACCAACTTAACTTGATTAATTGGGAATCTGGAATACTTTGACTTTATTTTAAAATGTTACCAGGAGGTTTTATGGCAACTATACATTGCCAATGATATTCGAATATTAATTAAATTATCTTTATAGATTTTGAGGTACATACTTTGTAAATATAATTTTAGCATCATTTAACTTAGAAATGTTTATTATATATTATTGTCAATTTTTTGTGCCTCGATTTATGAAATAAATTTGCATTTTTTAATTAAGTACAAACTTTGTAACAATACAAAGAATACCAGTGTAAAAAATAATTCTAAGTGCTTGAGCCACTGCAATTTGTACCTTAAGTTACGGCTGATACCAATTATATTTTAATTAAGGTCACAATGTCTTAACAAATGAATTAATAAAAGATTTTGGAATGTATTTGTTCGTTTTTTTATTTGGTATTAAATACCACGTTTTATATTAAACTAGTCCTGTGACGCCCTTTCTCATAAGAATGTAACTACTAACTGCTAAAGTAGTCAAAAATCATAATATGTAAAATCACACCAATCTTGCAAAATACTATTACAGAAAATGAGTTCCAATTAACGGGAAAATTTGTTTTGGGTTGGAAAAGAAATCAAAAAAGTAAATGTTTAATAACCAAATAATTTTAGTATTATTGCTAGCCATAAATAATTTTCTAACAAGGGATTGTAATAAATTATTTTTGCAATTTGAGTTCTAATGTTGATTAATGATTTAATATAGCCACTTTACCTAGTATAATATGTATCACAGGGTCTACACTCTACAGACTATAATATAAACATTGCTGTTTTACTTCAGACGTCAGACGTCAGTCATACGAACCGCCGGTATGTCATTAATTATTTGAAGTTGTTGAAATGGAAATCGAGTTGATTGGAAATAAACAAGCTAATACAGATATTTCCTTATTCATTTTGTAAAATACGTTAACAAATTAGTCATAAAATAATACATACAACAGGATAAGAGTAATATAGGGATAATATTTAGTAAGACACGGCTCACGTCATATTTTTTCAGTGTATAACTGAACACGCATGGAAGTAGACTTGTCCAGCGATACCAAATTAAAAATGGATTTAATCAAAAGTGCCCGAGAATTTATAAGCCACTGGTATTTAAGGTATATACTGTCGATTGAGCTGTATATGGTGGAGCCATGGGAAAGGCTTGTAATACGTATCCTTTTTCAAAATACAAGTATATTATTACTATGGTCATTTGTATACAAAGCCTAAGTAGTGGTAGACAATCAGTCAGGTAGGTCAATCAGGTGTACTGTATTAGTAAATGCATTGTGTTTTTAAAAACTACAAAATGAGGTATCATATAAGAACTACACTACTAAGAGCATAGCAAAAGGCAGTCATTAAAACTAAAACATTACATTATATATTAATATTTAATGAAATACTGTTGAATAAACATTTATACCAAATCATAAGGTACATTGTATTATGATTCAACATAAAATTATAATTGACCTAGATTTAGTAATATTAGCTGTTTACCCATTAGCTTATATTATCACTTCCTCTTATTGTGTTATTGAAAAACTTATGGAAACTTGTAAATTAATTTCCTTAAAGTGTTACAGATGCAATATTTGCCATATTTTTTGGCTTATTTTGGTATTTCAACTACTCAGTAATTGTTTATGCAATTGCTCATATACGAGACTGTCCAAGCCATGCCTATGAAATGTTGTAACTAAGGAATGATGGTATTGTGAAGAAATAATATTTTGTTGTAATATTGTTGGTATATTTTGTTAAATAAATATTATCTTATTTCATGCTTCTTTAACTAAATTTTTCTTTTGCCAAATGTTGTATTTAAAAAAAAATTGATAAGAAAACTAAATATATTAAAACTGTCTGGACAATCTAGGTTCTTGGAATAATATATACAAATCTAGACATTTATATTATTAATTTTGAATAAAGTTTGATAACAAGTAAATATTACCGAAGGCAATATAAATTGTAAACAACCCCATTTACTGAATATTTAATATTTAAACAGTGAGTCAGACACTGTTGTGTCCGTCCTTATTACAATATTTATTAATTAATAAAAATACACTCTGTATATAAGAATATTATCTTTTCATGTGATTAAGAAATAGTACCACAATTAAAGTTGATAGTAAAACCAGTAGGTTAGAACAACTAATAATATTGCTGTCCTTAGTATAGAGTTTTTTCCTTTATTTATTATGATTACAATTAATGTTGAAGCCCTTCGTTATTGTGTAGAATAGGTATATAATATAGGTTAGCCTGGTATAACATTTACCCCGGCTAACCTTATGTCATCCTCCCAACGCCTTACCTGCCTGTGTAACGCCCTTTGCCATTTAAATCTTCTATATGTTATTTTTGTACATCTAATTTGTTTTAAGAGCCCTGATGCAAAATAGTTCATCTAGTGTGAAATTTTCTCTGTGAGATTTTTTCTAACTTAATTATTTTTGTATATCTATATAAAATATTAAGCTGTTCTGCTATCACATGTCACGTTACTTATGCCATTTTTTAATTATGAACCAATAAACTATTTTAGCTTTTTAAATTTTTACATATCCTGTTTTAAATTCGAAGAAGTTATAAGCAAAATAGTTCGTTTAATTGTTAATTGATGCAAAAGAGTTCGTCTATCGGTGAGTTAAATAAGATTATTCCTTCTTTGTACAATTATGTTGCATAATTTAAATTTGTAAAAGTATCTTGTGTCATTTGTCAAGTGAGACAGTATAAATTCTGAAAATTTCAGTTTTTTTCATTAGTTTTCAAAAAACAATGGGTTGTGGCAAAAGCGAATAGTTTGTGGGGTCGATGCTGGCAAATCAAATTACCAAATATGTTAAGACTTGATACTTCCAAGGTCTACAGTCCAATCTATCATTCAGCACTATAAAAAGAATAGAACGACTTCTTGTTTGAAGAAAACTGGTCGACCACGCATCACAAGAGCAGTAGAAAACAGAAGCCTGTAGAAAATTATCAAAAATAATCGTCGTCCTCGAGCTGGAGAACTCACGGTGCAATGGAAGGACATGATTCACAAAGACGTCTCAGTTCATACTCGCAAAAGAGTTCTAAAAACAATGGGTTACGGATTTTACGAGGTTGAAGTTTGCTCGTGATCATTTAAATTGGACTTCCGTTCAGTGGCGTAGTATCATTTTGCGTGACGAGTCCAATTTTGAAGTGACAGTCGGCGATGAAAGGAAAAAAGTGATTCGGAACAAAAATGAAGCATTTCATACTGATTGTCTCAAACCCAAAGTGAAGTTTCCGGCGTCTCTTATGATATGGGGCTGCATGTCTGCACAAGATGTTGGTGGTATTTGGATGGTTCTATCAATGCTGCAAGGTATCAAAACCTTTTGGAAGAGAATTTACTGCTCTCTATTCCGTCACTTAAGCATCAAGATTTCTTCATTTTACACCACCAACAATAAAATGTAGTATGGGCAGGATACTTCATTAAATAATCCTACATTATATACGTTTGCGTTATGTTCTTTAAAATATTCTTTTTATTTTTGTATGTTATGTAAAGTCATGAAAGAATTTCAGTTATGTTAAAATAAACTTTAAAATGTTCCTCAAATTGTGGTTTACTTTTTATTACAGGTTCTTAATTATTTGTCCAATATTTACTTTCTATATTTTACGCTTTAGGAAAGTAGTGCACTTTCCATACTAGAAGAACTATTTTGCATCGGGACTCGTAGTCTTGTTAAGTTTTAAGTTTATTATTCATACAATGCATACATAATTGAAAAAAAAAACCAATTGTTTAAAACTAATTTAATAAAATTTTACGGCTAAACAATCCGATTTTAGAAATTAGCGAATACAATATATCATTTTTTATAGATTCAATTGTAATTCAAGTAAATTGCGAAATAGTCGCTCGGCTGCAGATTCCATGATATACGCCTATGTAATCCAGTCAAAATAGACAAAAATAAGTCATAACTTAGCCAAAATTCGCATAGAGCTGAAAATTGGCAGAGACGTTAAATACATCATTATAAATGAAATGTCAAAAATCCCCTTCGATCCTACTTCTGCAAAAAAAATTATTCAAGGTCAAAAGTATAAAATTAAGGTTTTTTCCATTTTTCTCGAAAACAGTTAGTATTATCGTGAAAATAGATCAGACAAAAGTTGTAGATCATACAATTTTCTACAAAAATGGTTCAGTCACTTTTTCTCTTACGACTCACCATTCATGAGATATCGCGGTTTTAATCATTAGAAAATTCATATTTTACATAATATGCACAAAATGCAGTCTGTATACGTCACCGGACGTTCAATATAAATGAAAATAAGAAACTATTCGTTTGTGTTACTTAAACAATAAAACTTGTATAAATTAAATGAGGATTTTAAAATATAAGACAGACTCTCTGTCAGTCCCTAATTCCCTTCGTCGGTAACCTTGAGTAAAATCTGCTAGCTACGTCATTGTTTGACTGTGGAGGGTCGCATACCTGCCTATTTTTGAAGGAAGTAAATGAAATGACTCAGTATATACTGTTAGTTTTGAAAATTCCTGTGCAGTGAGCAGACGTGCTTATTGGTAATATTTTCAATTTTAATTTGTGCTGTCTTTTTAAAAATTTAAACAAAATGTCAGAAGTTTGTTTTATTTGTGATAAACCTTTGAAAGAAAGTGAAGTCGTTGTTGTTGATCGTGGAATGATGACTTTGATTGATGCAAGTGTTGAAAGAAATATTATTTTTTTTGAATACTTAAAAGACAAGCAATCTGTGACAGTCCACGTGCAGTGTCGTAAAATGTATACTCGAAAGAGTAGTATTGTTGCAGCTAAAAGACAGCGCGAGCCAGAAGAAGGTAGTACATCCACGATAAGTCCACCTCATACTAGAGCACGAGTAAGTGAGCCAGATTTCAACTTTAATAAATGTTGTTTATTTTGCGGCGATGAAGCAAATGAAGAAGCTGAAAAGAAGAAAGCGCAGAATGTTCGTCGTAAAATTTATAACGTATCTACACTTGAATTTAAAGATTCCATTTTAAAGGTAGCTCGGACTCGTTCTGGTGACGTAGCAAAAGCTGTTATTGCTCGCATTGGGTATGAATTTGACTTAATTGCTGCTGAAGCTAAGTACCACAATAACTGTTATATTATCTTTCTGAGACCTACCACGGGATATAAAGTCGGTCGTCCCGAAGATGATTCAGTAAACTTGGCGATGGAGGAAATATTTCAGTTCATTAAAAATAATGATGAGTGCCAATTTTCATTACAAGAATTGAAAGATATCGACAAAAATCCAACTATAGATAATAAAACAATTAAAAGAAGATTAAAGTTAAAGTATGGTGATAAAATTATTATAACTGAGAAGAAGGAAGCTTAACAATTATCTGTTTTATTGATAATCAGTACGATATTCTTAATAAAGCTTGGTATGAAAATAAAAAACAAAATACAAACGAAGAACGATTCAGAATATTGAAAGCTGCTTCAGCAATTATTCGAGAGGATATTCAATCTGTAGTGATTGATAATGATAATTATCCCCCGCCGAGTGAAATGTTTGAAAATATTAACAGCGATATTCCGGAGTCCTTGACTTATTTTTTGGAGCAAGTAATTTTAAAAAATCGACGATTTAAAGTAGATCATTTGAAATTAATATGTACAACTATCAGCCACTGTATAATGACTGCTGTTCGGCCTAGGTCTTTCAAATCAAGATTGCATTGGGTTTATCAGTTTTTTTCATCGACGATTTGGATCAAAACGTCTTATACAGATTTTTTCGTCTTTCGGATTGTGTGCATCATATAATGATACTATAATGTATGAGGCAGCAGCAGTTCTGCATCGTCTACCGCATATTTTGCCACCCAAAACTGGCACATTTATTCAGTATGTTGCAGACAATGCTGATATAAATGTACATACCTTAGACGGTCATAATACGCTTCACATCATGGGGATCATTAAAATTATTACTACAAAAAGTTCAGTTATAGCAGAAGAGCCTATATTACGAACAAACATACTTCCTTCAGCGCAACATTTTGCAGAAAAAGCTCATGTGCCAATACAAGTCTATCAAACAGATAGTGTGGTAGGATATAGCAAATAGCTGTGCAGGATTTTGATTATAAAAATAATACAACAACATCTTTACTTAAAAAAGTAGATATGTTATGGTTGTATGGGTAGTGGAAAAATTTATTATTGCCTGGTTGGAATGGTTATATTGAACATTTAACAAGTAATATTATAAATTTTTCGGAATCTCGAATTTTATTTTTACCATTTATTCATCAACCAGCGAGTAACTACAATACCATATACACAACTTTACTGTGTCCTTTAGAAGATGAAGAAAACGTTATGGCCACGATTATTGTGTTATTACTTTTGATCGATTTTTACGCAAAAGCTCGAGAAATCGTATCCGCAGCGCCTGAAGGATCTGATTTATCGAAGATTATAGACTTGGAGGTTTTCATTTACTCATGTCTTTTTTAGGAGCGATTGGATATATTATGCAAGGAAGTGGTATAAAAGAAGTACTTTCTCTGATTTATGCACCTAATTCATTAGAAAAAATGCTCAATGGTCATGCTTACGCGAGAGCTGTTCGAGCTCATACCTTGCTACATCTTACTTTAGCAACAATAATATCCAAAGAGCTTGTTCTCGATAGTGAGATGGATAAAAACCTTACAAATACAATTGAACTTATAATAAATAAAACTATTTCCTATAATGATATTGAACAAGGCGATGAAATATTTGAAGCATTACTTTATCAGTTTAATGAAAAACTACAGGAGCACGGAGAACGAGGACCTACAGCAAAACTGTGGATACAATATTTTCATATGGTGTCTATTGCAAAGGAAAATTATAAGAGCTGAACGTATGGGTGATTGGCGAGCTCATTTGAATTGCGTTAAAGAAATGCTTCCTTATCTTCATGCGTCAGGACATTTTAATTATGCCAAGTACATTACCTCATAGGTGGTGCGGAAATGTGTGCATATTACGTAGAATACGAAATTCTAATGATTAAAACCGTGATATCTTATGAATGGTGAGTCGTAAGAGAAAAAGTGACTGAACCATTTTTGTAGAGAATTGTATGATCTACAACTTTTGTCTGATCTATTTTCACGATAATACTAACTGTTTTCGAGAAAAATGGAAAAAACCTTAATTTTATACTTTTGACCTTGAATAAATTTTTTTGCAGAAGTAGGATCGAAGGGGATTTTTGACATTTCATTTATAATGATGTATTTAACGTCTCTGCCAATTTTCAGCTCTATGCGAATTTTGGTAAGTCAAATGCCTATTTTGACTGGACTATATGTAACACCTTCCTTATTACATATGTATATCCACTTTTACGACTGGGGATTTCAGGAACTTGTTCTTTACCAGGATGTCTTTTTGCTTCAGGTTTCATTCCCAGTCGTTTATACGTTACGATGCTAATTAATATAATTGTAACTATCAATATTACATAAAGAGGTTGTACCTATGATATAAACTAATAGATTGATTTAAATATACTGGAGACTGCGTTGGGGTCTACAGAGGCCAGGTTTAATGTTGGCTTAATATGTTTGGATTCGATTTGTTGAGGTATTTCCAATAACTAAACAATGTTACTTTCAGCCTTGAGGTAACAGTTAATCGGGATTATTGCTACATAGCTGCTTGTAATGTCCGATATTGTTCTTGTCCACAGGATAATTGAACTTTCTTTAAAGTCGGAAAACTCATTGTGTAATGTTTATCATCCTGTGGTTAATTTTATAGAACCACTGAAGAAAAACAGGACTGGTAGAGCTCCTATTTGAGGATCAGCTGTTGGATGCAATTAGACTTATTTTTCCTCTTAAAAAATAATTGATTTCTGACTCTAAAGGTACATCGTTTGTTACAACCTAATGACATTCTCATATTTATTTGCATCAGTATAATCTATATTACAAAAAAAATATGGATCGAAGGACGTTATTGTATGATATTATTACCCTTTTTTAACGATGAAAAGTACGAAGCTGGTCACATATCATATAAGTTTACTTTTCAAATGTTCTACATGAGGATTAAACATAATTAAGATAATGTCTAATTACTTAAATTGCCAATCTAAACTTCCAATTCTATCTGATATTTTTTAAATTAATGTACTGATTTCAAAAAGGAATGATAATGAGAAATAATCTTAGAGGGTCTTAGTTTATTTAACTGTAATCAATGTCTATTGGGTTACGTGGGTCAAATTTCCTGTAATGAGGTCTAATGGTAATGGCACTTAAAGTCCCTTGAGAAAGTACCTACCGCTCCAATAGCAAAATTCGATGCATCAGTCCTAAGAACAAAATCTTTATTAAATCGTCATTATATAAAAATAGGTCATTAACCAATAATAATTTACATTTCTCAAAGCAATAAACATAATTAGAATCATTAAAAGTTGTTTAGGAATAACCGTTTTTTAAACACTGCGTCATTCGTTTCGTTATACAAACAAAATCAAGAATGAATTTTCCATAATAACCTACTAAACCAAGGAAACGTCTATTTCAGTGGAAGTTTTAGGCAAAATAAATTTACGAATAGCTTCTATCTTGTCAGGGTTTGGCTTAACTTAATACCATCTTCACTAATTATATTTCTTAAATACAAAGTTACACGTTTCAAGACTTCGTATTTATCCATCTGTACCATAAAATTTGATTCTGTCAAATCTTTAAATACCTTTTCTAAATTAATTTTGTAGGAAAAGCGATAACTCGTCGTATAATGGGTACCTACTACCTCGTCAGTAGTTTTAATGCGACGTTTAATTTTATTCGTGAAGGTAAGTGGTTCACCTTCAATGCAAATACGTTTGCATAATGAGACCAAAGTGAAATTAAATTTAGTTTTTCTTTCGGATTAATATTATCTGTAAGAAGCCGTAACATCTTCAACACGATTAGACTTATGACAATCATAGTTTTCAACTAAATACTTTAGCATGTGCGGCGTGATCCAAAGTATATTATTACTGACAAATTTGATAAATGATGCAATTACAGATAACTTGTTCTTGAACTAAAACATCACCAACATATCAATAGAAAATCTTAATAATTTAGTACTATAAGCAAACGGCTAGGAGGCTCACTTGTTCATTTGCCACCTGTTCTATAAAAAAAACAAAATAAAAACAGAATAAAACAAATTACAATAGAATTAATTTTATTACACTTTCAAGTAGCTGACACAATACCCATTTGTATAGCGAAACATTTCTGGGACTTTGAGTGACATTTTTTGCAAATGATCAACACCTCTTGTAAACATACTTTTCGATATGTCTGTAGAAATCACACTTGGATCGGCTAACCAAGCTTCAACTTCGGTGTTTAACGAAGACTCAATCTTGTACAGAACCTTTGTAAGTACGGTTGACTGTAATTTAATTTTATCATTTAAAATCAAATCATCAGTGTTTCTTAACACTTGCAGCTCTTTATCCATTATCCAAAGCAGTACATATTGCTTGTTTGAAGCAGAAATTAAGCATTCTAAAACAATCTTATACATTATTGTGTACTGTAAGCCAAGGTTAAATTCATTCATCATATTTTCAATTGTGTATATAAAATCATCTATACTTATATTATCTGTACTATTTTTATGAGTAAATGCATAGGTCTCTTCATTATTATGCGATATTTTCACTTCAGAATTGTACAGTTGTACGGTATCTTTCTTCTTTATGCCAAGCCAAGCAAGGCATCGATTACAATGATATATTTCTCGTTGTAGATTAAATTTATTTGCTTTGTCTGCCAATAGATTATTATTTATCACAAAAAATGTTAACCTATGTAAGAAATCTAGCTTTTGCGGTTGCAATACAATAGTCTCAGATGTGTTTCCATGACTGTGATTGTGACAAAACCATTCAGACATGTCCAGATTTGATGTAGGCAACTCTAATATCCTGTCAAACTTCACAAAATTATTAGATATCATATTGGAGCAATTTGCACATACAATTTGAATATCTTCATTGGATTTCAAATTAATATTCATGTTATTGCCTTTTGGCTTATTCTCAATGGTGTCTGTTGGCAGAAATTCTGAATAGAATCCACCTCCATTCTTTGGTTCTGTCAAAATTCTAAATGATATGGTATTTTTATCAACTTTGAGACATGACATGGAATTTGGTATGATATAGCAGAATTCCTCTATTGGAATACAACAGGTCACATCGCTTTCTTCATCGGAATAGTCAGACAAACTTTCAATAGAGGATAAGCTGTTGCTCCTTTTAAAGCCGTCATTATAATAATTCAATATAATACAATTAGAACGAATACTTATTTTCAAATTACAATTTTTACTAAAATCAATATTTGTAGTTATATAAACATTACAACTTCTCAAGCGAGATCTGATTTCAACAAAAATATTTTTAACTAACATTTTCACTTATACTAATTTACGATTACTTGTCAATTACATCCGCCTTTATCTTCTTGACATAACCATTTGTTTCATAAATGTTAAATAATGTATCCATTTCACGAATTGTGAATGGTAAAGTGACTTTCTTATAATAATCATTCATAATTTCAATGTTATTGATGACTGTATCAAGTAAATGAGATTTTTCTGCATAAATACCAGGTGCTTCGTGTTGAATATATGTAAAATGTATATGTAAATGGTAGAATGATGGCTGGTAATGAAGATAAATCCGTAATTGGCTGCTTGGAAGGTTGTACTTGTCTAATATCGCTTTCTAAAAAAAACACAAATTATATAATTTTTAATTGTCATAAATACAATGTTAAAGACATTGTACAATGCTTTCATTGGCACCAAAAAAAATTTAATCAAGAAGAAGCACAACAGGTTTATCACGCTATATCAGATTAATAATTAGGTCTGTAGCTGAAAGTGATTCATTACCTTTCCTTCGTCTCTGATATTTTTCAACAGTGGTAAATGCCTCTCATCCAATTCTCTGATTGATTTTATGTCCCTTTGTCTTACAATTGCCAACAGGTACAAGGTCTCTTTAGTCAGTCCGTCCCACTTTAAGTCAGGAACTAGTACAAAACCATTGGTTTCACATGTATTATTATACACAATTCTGTCTTGTTCACTTTTTCCTTCTAAGATATTGTACACCCACTGAAATTAAAAAATAATAGTTACTTACAAATATCTAAAATCAATTTATATAATGTAGAAGCTAGGAAACTTGTTAGGTAATCTACTATGATTATATTGATTCTTAGTGTTCCTTGTCATGTAGAATTTGGACATGATAACCTACATAATAATGAAAGTAATAGGTTTTTAATAATCCTACTCAGCATCCATTCTTTATAAAAAACTTAAAGATTTGTTATAAAATAAAATCAGTGAATTGGGTATATAAAAAGGGGGGAAAAAAAAAAAAAAAAAAAAAAAAAAAAAAAAAAGAAAAAAAGGGGGGGGGGGGGGGGGGGGGGGGGAAAAAAAAAAAAAAAAAAAAAAAAAAAAAAAAAAAAAAAAAAAAAAAAAAAAAAAAAACCAAACAAACAAAAAAGGGGGGGGGGGGGGGGGGGGGCCGGCGCCGCGCCCCCCCCCCCCCCCCCCGGGGGGGGGGGGGGGGGGGGGGGGGGGGGGGGGGGGGGAAAAAAAAAAAAAAGGGGGGGGGGAGGGGGCACCCCCCCCCCCCCCCCCCCCCAACAAAGGGCCGGGGGAGGGGGGGGGGGGGGGGGGGGGGGGGGGGGCGGGGGCCCAAAAAAAAGGGGGGGGGGGGGGGGGACAGGGGGGGCGGGGGGGGGGGGGGGGGGGGGGGGGGGGGGGGGGGGGGGGGGGGGGGGGGGGGGGGGGGGGGGGGGGGGGGGGGGGGGGGGGGGGGGGGGGGGGGGGGGAAGGGGGGGGAAGGGGGTCCGGGGGGGCGGGGTTGCGGGGTTTTTTCCCAAAAAAAAAAAAAAAAGGGCGGGGGGGAGGCACACACAAACCAACCAAAAAAAGGGGGGGGGGGGGGGGGGGGGGGGGGGCTTGGGGGCTTTTTTTTTTTTTTTTTCGGAACCCCCCGGGAGCACCATACTTTTTTTTTTTTTTTTTTTTTTTAAAAAAAAAAAATTTTTTGGGGGGGGGGGGGGGAGGGGGGGGGGGGGTTTTGGGGGGTCCGAAAAAAAAACCCCCGGCTTTCCCTAATCTTTTTTGTTTGGGGGGGGGGGGGGGGGGGGCCCCTTTTTTTTTGTGGGGGGGGGGGAAGATAATTTAAAAAATTTTTTTTTTTTTTTTTTTTTCCCCCCACCAACCAAACAACCAACTTTTTTTTTGGGGGGGGGTTTTTGTTTCTTTGCCGGCCTGGTTGGGTTTGTTTTGGGGGGGGTTTGGGGGGGGGGGGGGGGGGGTTTTTTTTTTTTTTTTTTGGGGGAGAGGGGGTATAATAAAAAACACAAAACAAAGGTTTTTTTTATTTTTTTTTGGGGGGGGAGGGGGGTGGTGGGGGGGTTTCCGGGGGGGGGGGACGCCAAAAATTTTGGGTTTTTTTTTTATTCCCCCCCGGGGGTTGGGGGGGGTTTTTTTTTTTTTTTTAGATTTTTTTTTCGGGGGGGGGGAAGGGGGGGGGGGGGGAATTTTGGGGCCAACTACGTTATATAGCCTGTAAATCAAATAGATGCTTGTAAATTAAAAATAATACCTGTAAAGTAAACTGCTCCTTTTGTAAATGTGGAAGGGTCAAAGTATTATAGCATGTTGGTGTTTCTAAAATTAAATGTACTTCTTGTTTAGTGTACTTGGATATATGCTTCTCTGTAGCAGGGAAGATAGTTGTTGTTTTTACACCTGTAAAATTGTTTTGTAAACAATAATTTGACCAATAAACTTTTTCAAAGTATAGATAAAAATCCAAATTAGGAAAATTAATTAGTTAATTTATCACAGTAATATCATAATATGATTTTACTCCTTAGTCCTTATATCACAGACAATTGAATGCCAACACAACAAAGTAAACCATATTGTGGATAAGTCTGTTCATGATCAAGGTTGCAAGTTATTAGTTGTTAAATTGACTTATCAAATCTTAGACCTTTGCCATCATTATCTCTGTTATAGTAAAGTAATTAAGAATGAAATCAAATACGCAATATCATGATGCATGGAACAAAGTCGTGGGCATCCTGAGAAATTACTCATGCTGACGAAAAGATAACTTGATGTAAACCTTGAAATTCGAAAGTAGACTTACCATTCACTGATGATATCGGGTAACATTCAAAGTTTCCGTAAATGTCGTTCTGGAAGAAAGGGTGTACCTTTGTATCACAAGAAAAATAGCCTTCGCTACTTAAATCTTGCTCTTTGAAAGCTTTTTTTTCTAAAATCACAATGCCTACACCACTTTTTTCTTCGAAATTTCCTAATACACTAACTATTTTCTTACTCGTGTTGTTGTTTAAAATTTTAGTAGGAACAAAATTTTTAAGTTCTACTTGATTTTCATTTACACCATTGCCATTTTGATCGTCTATTTTAAATTTTTTCGCACACGGGGTTTCTACAGCATTGCTTTGACAATTGCCGTCGGACATTTTGAAATCATGTTGCCATATTTCTTAGCATCATAAAAATCTTCTCGTAAAATTGCCAGAATGGAAATGACTAAATAATAAATATACAACAATAAAAACATTCAATACATAATATATAGTTTGATGACGATTACTTAATAATATTATAATATGTATTATTTACAAAACCGTTTTATGACTACGTAACTAAACCTCATGTACGACAGCAATAACACTTATATGCCGCCAAAAAAAATTAATAATCTTAAAGTCCATATTATTCTAATTCGAATCTTAAGCCACAATCTAGTCTTGAGCGCATTCAAATATGTCAAACTTCTGAATACAGTAAAAATGGTTTGACAGCTTTTGAAACTAGGTTTAAGTTTGGTTGACGTTTTATGATACGGACCTTTATCAGGCATTGTTTATTTAGGTATTAATAATTGACCAAAAATCAGGCATAACTTTTATTCCTTTAATACGTCCTGCGGTTATAGAAGGAACTTCAATGATTAACTACATACTTGCTTACTTGATTATTTCCATATTAATATAGTAAGATTGTCTAAGACTATTTTATCTTCCTACTCTGATTTTTTGAAATACAGAAATAAAGGGGTTTTTCTTACGTTTATGATACCTAGGTGGTAATAAAATATCCAGATTAGACGGTCAATCAACTTTGAATGTCTGTCAATCTACCATTGTGATGAATTGGTCAATTTTGTCCGTGCCGTTGCACAATGGTATTTATTGACGAGTCGTTACATATTTGAATCAGAAAAGATGATATACGTAAAGGTTAGGTAAAATAGCTATTCAAAGAAGAGTAATAATATTTGTAAATAATTTAGTTTAGTTTAGTAACAAGGTCCTTTATTATCCTTTAATCAATAGGTAAAATCTCTATTGAGTCGTGGATATTCTAAGCCTGTCTCTTTAGCTTTTCACAGAATAAATCTATAAAGTATAAACTTTATTTAGTTATGTTAAAAAAGAACTATTTGTCAATAAATTATGAATGTCCACAAACAATAGAATGTCTGCAAGTACTACTAAATATACCTTTATATAATAATAAGTTATTTAAGAAATTAAGGTTCCACTTTCAATTTTATTTTGTGTTTGTCCCCCATGGGACAGCCGATGCTAATAAAATAAGTTTAATAATAGTGCGTGTAGTTTTTCTGTCACTTAGATTAAGTCACTATCTCTAAAAAATTACCCGTAGTAATTTAGAATAAAGTTTTGGTTATCGGACGTGAGAGAAAAAATTATCGATACAGGAAATAATAAATATTTCTCAATAACACACCGATATTGGCCGCCCGCAGGTATCATACTCGAAATCTAATCAACACATTTAAGATATGTAAATTTTATTAATGACAATCGTTGGAAGGTAATGAAGTGAAAAATAGGTTTACGCATTTCAATGTATAGATACACCATATTTTATTAAATATAAAAATTGTAATATCACTGAAATAAATAATTTTCAATAAAATAATAAACCATAAATTAGTCTATGACCACTTTTTATTTTAATTTAGGTCGTTGCAATTATTATTAACTGTAGTGGGAGAGCCTAAACTACGAAAGTTTTTATCCCATAAATTTAATTTTCAAAGTTACACTAAACATGACGTAATTTCTTATAAAATAAGATTGGTTATATTAAAGGATACAAACTTTAAAAACAAGAACGTCTCCAGTCTGTGACTAATCTAGCACCGGCTTCTGAAAGGTGAAGCAATTAATTGACGGGATTAATAAGTTGCGGGTGCAACGAGTACAGTGTGTCTATGTCTTTACGTTTCGACTATGTATTTGCGTGTTGTTCCCACGAGAATGTAAGTGCGTGCACCTATTTCACTATGCCTCCTGCTAATAGAGGACAAATCTTTGTTTTTAATTTATTTTATTATTATTTATTACTTAAGCAAAACTCCTTACAAAGGTTGTGTAAAACAAAAAAACTTGGCGATTAAAAAGAGTGGAGGAGAGTTTATTGCCAGTTCTTCTCTTCCGTTCTACGCCCTTGATTTGAGAAGTGGCAGTAAATGTAAAATTAGATGCATTTCATATATTTATTTTTTTTGACGTTCATAAGTGTACATTGTGTTACCTATATGAATAAATGATTTTGACTTGACTTGACTTCTTACGACTGAAAACCCACACAGATATTCATCAAAACAAATACGTGATAGATGTACTTATAAAAAAAAATATTCTCTTATAAATCTCTAAAAATTACTTTTTTCCTAGGTTCTAATTTGAGTTAAATTAAATTCTACATTGAGTTTTATATTTCACAATATAGATTGTTGACTAGGAAAATTTTTGTCAAGTAAATTATTTTCATAATTACTATTCATTTTTATTTCATAACACATAATATAAATAATAGCCATGTGTATCAAAAGCTTTATGTCAACGCCAATAAATGCTCGGGAGCATACGTATTTTGTTCCCTCAACCGCGCGCGCGCATCAGTACATGATTTCTTAAATGTCAATTTAAAAATCAATAAAATTAATTTATGACATTTAATAATAATTTATTATTAAACCTAAAAGACTTGTAGCTGGACTTTAAAAATACGCGGGAAACGGCAGTCGGCAATAAACTGTAAATAATAAATATTCAAAATAAATATCGTATAGTGAATTTGTTGATTTGCTTTATTAATAATAATAATTTAATATTAAAATGCATATGACTGGGAAAATTATTATTTTATTTATAACATTTGTGGGATGTGAGAAAGTTTTCAAGAGCGTTCCGGTTGTTGTGAAAACATACGAAAATGATACTGTGTTGCTGCCGTGTTACATTGACGACTCGGGTAAGTGATTATTTACTAAAAGTGTTTTGACAATTTAGTACTAACTTCTAACTAGTTGACTGTTTTGTTTTTCTTTCCTTATTTTATTAATTTGTTTGCCTACATATATGTATGTACTCTTTGTTACCACTCAATATGACTTTGCTGTGGAATGGAAGCCTGGTTATCCATATCACAGGTTCACCTAGTTTGGAATCCAGTCTCCCAATACCTTCTCAACTGTAATCTTATTGTTTGTTGCAAATGTTATATGGGAGAAAATAAATTATTATTATTATTATCTATCTTCTTCTTCTTTTGCTGCCTTCTTTGCTCCTTTCTCTATTACTAGAGGTTGGCCGTTAGTCTCGTGAAGCTTGTGCCAAATGCAGCAACATTTCAGCAGTCGAAATACCCGTCAACTCCACTCCCTAACGTGGAACGCGCCGTTTACCCTGGATTTTACCCAGTTTCTATAAAACTACCTTAAAATGGTATAATATCTTTATATATATCTTAGATTCATAATTTAATTAAAACTTCCTTAGCGGATTTATACACGAATTTCAGTTTCATCAGTCGTGGTCAGAGAATGTTTAGTAGTGAATATTTTTATTTTATTTGAAATTCACCGAAGTGGTTCTGCAGGGCATGGAACTCTTTATTCCATTTTCTGCGGTGCGATCGGTGGCAAGTCTCAGCCCTGGTTTAAACGTTCTTGAAGGCGCCTCGGTCGAAAGCGAGAATCTTTGAGGCATGGGGGAAGGGGAAATCTTGATCCAATACCAGGAACTTAAAAGCATATAACTCAGCCTCCAGTTTTCAAACGGGAAATCACTAAGGCAAAGTCAGAGCAATTGCCAGATTTGGCGAGAGATTGGCCCAACTCCATCAGGGACTCGACCTTCTGTCTCTCGCCAAAGCTTCAAAGGAATTTTTGTCAGCCCGCCATTCCGCCACTGCAGGAGGATGACTTCTGCCCACACTCGAAGGAGAAGGTACCTTTGGGCTTCTTTGGTCTACTCGACTTTGATGACCGAGGGAGATAACCGACCATTTCGCGGTGTGATTCTTCGATGCCGGAAATCAATTCCGGCAACGTGCTGTCCGCAAAGCACTATCTTCCTTGGACATTATAAGTCGAGCGGGCCGATGTATCCCCCAATTGTCTGGTACTTGTGCTCCTGAGTTGCTCCGGTTTAACGCGCCTTTTCCGGTACCTGTACTCGCTCGGCACTGTCCCGAAGTGCTGGAAGATCGCTTTGATACATCCGATCCTAAAAGGGATGTCTGTCCGTCAACTATCGCCCAAAGCTATAACCTCCTTGTTCTCCAAATAATGGAATCCATTGTTAATTGCCAGCTCTTGAGGTATCTAGAGGCACAGCTATTAGCGATTATCAGTACGGCTTTGTCGTGGTCGTTCGGCTGGTACCTTCTTGTATACCTTACAATAGATGGAGAGGCAATTGAGTCAAGGGGAGGCCTAGCGGTTAGTTTGGACATAGGAAAGCCTTCGATCGGGTGTGGAAGAGCACTCTCTGAAGTTAGCCTATGGTTCCGAGAATTACATTGATCTATTTCTGCCGATGACATCAAGGTGTATGACGGAGATTTCCGACCTAAAACCCGTAAACGCTGGTCCCAAGGTGTGTTCTATCCCCGACCTATTTCTTCTCATATCAATAATGTTGAAACTTAGCAACATTCATTGCTATGCGGATGACAGCACTGGGGATACTTTTTACACTGGCCGGAGTATTTCTCGGGCAATTGTTGATGAGTACCGGAACAAACTTGTGTCTGAAGTGAAACTCTACTACGTGATCTCAGATTGGGGCAGACAAAACCTATCAATTTAACCCCAAGAAGACACAAGTTTGCGTTTTCCCTAAAAAAACCCTTTGTCTACTCCTCTTTTGAAAACACTCTTTTAAAGCCAACCAATTGGAATACTTGTTGACATATGAGCGACTTCATTTCGCGGTCACTTGAGAAAGCTAAATTAGCCTCCAAAGTTGTGTCTAGAGGGAGACTATTCACTCCGGGCCACCGATGCAATATATAAGCAATTCGCCCCAATGGAGTACTCTCTCACCTCTGGGGGGCTCCAGTACCAGCTCCTTCATTGAGTATACAACGAGAGCTTCAATCTGACACCAATCCCTCTCGAGCGCTGATCCTTTGTGTAGAGAAGTGAGGTCACTCTGCATCTTCTACCATTTAATGAAGTTCAGAGGATTTTGATAATACCTATGATTCATCATGATGAGGCAGAATAGAAATTCCACCGTATCACCTCGACGTCCGAGTTCCAAATGAGTTTTTCAAGGAGTTTTTGCCGGACCTCCACTATGTGGAACCAGCTGCCCACTGAAGTATTCCCGAACCAATTCGACTTAGGTCCTTCAGAAAAAGAGCGTACAATTTTAAAAGGCTGGAACGCTGGGCCTCTATTGAGATGTATGGGGGGTATCATTAAATTCCTCCCGTTTAAAACCCCTAACCGGTGACATAAATTTCTATTGGTCCATGCCCTGGATGGACTATGTGCGTTTTCAATTACAGATAGAATTTTGCGCATATCTCATATTTCAACTAAGAACCTTCAAATTCACTCTAAGAATCTTGTTTCTGAACAATACAACCAGTGACAGAAATTGATATTCTTTTTGATTTTGAAATTTTTTATAAATATTATTTATGTTGAAAATTTTAAGGCTTTCTTTTTAATTTTGAAAATAATTAAATTATTTCAAACTTAAAAATAAATATTGTATGATAATATAAATATTACTTTTTTATATTCCACATTTAAAAATAATACAATTTTATTTTAAAATTCGATCTTAAACAAATTTATTTAACAGATTATACTTTAGAAAAATTGCAATTTTTAAAAGTATATAATTTTTAGAAATATTAAAAAATATTACTCAAAACTAAATGATTAAACTTTTACATGAAACTAAATATTTTACTTTAATTTACTTGTTAAAACTTATATTTTTAAAGTTTTCTATTATTTAATAAAAAAATTTAATAAATAATTTATATTAAATAAGTAAAATTTTAACCAATTATTATTTTTAAATGAATGAGTTTAATAATTATAAATTTTTTTAAACTATTAGGATTTATATTTGAAAACTAATTATTCCAATTAATTCGATTATATTGTGCGCTGAGTCATAATGTTTATGACGCCTTATGTCTATGAAGAAGTCTACGCCTTGAACTTGACTTTCGCCTTTCGAAGGTTATTTAGAAAGTTCCCCTATGGACACACTCCCACGGGCTTTTACCTGGCCTGGAGTTGGATGAGTCCTAGATACATTTTTATTTTAACTACTACTTCATGATAAGGAGACATTCCTTTTTTAATACGGGTTTAAAACACAGCTACGGTATGAATACTTCTAGAAGTACCCAACGTACCACCATAATGCTCATTGTTTGACGATATACGTGGTAGGGGACTTGTACTTTTAGTAAGAAATACATAAAAACTAAATGATATGCCAACAATTCCGCCTAGATTCGATCCCAGCGAATTAATAAGCCACGAATGCAATTCAAAAAGAGCATAAATATTATTTTTTAGTTACGTTTATTATAATTATGTGCGTAGGTGTACGTAATCAATGTTTACGTTTAATTATAGTAACTATATCATGGCACCGATCTACCATAGACTATAAAAACAAATTGAAATTATGCTAATTTTTATATAATCTACATTAAGTATAGAGTATACCACTTGACATTTGATTATCGTAAGCCATAGGAGGTACCTTCCGTGTTTGGAAGAAAAATGGTTTGGGAACAGTTTGAAAATTATGATTCTCAAATTACAATTGGTTTTCGACATACGAGAGACACTATATTTATCTATTTACAGCTTATGTACAGTGCCGGATTAGCCACATAGCAAGAGTAGCAAATGCTACGGGCCCCGCGAACTTAGGGGCCCCGCTCTCCAACGCCTGTCTGACCGTAATAAAAAAAGTATTAATTTAGATAGGAGCGTAAAATATCTTGCATACCTTTAACACGCAACACTTTCTCTATGCTTCACTTCCCAATAAAAATAAACTCGACTTCGTCAACTTTAATCGTAACAATAAGTACGTATTTAACTTTTTAACGTTAATTTTCAAATTTTAATTATAATCGATATACATAATTAGACTAGCAAGTTATTTGTACCCTTCAGATTTTTATTTTTTTATAGGTATACATTTATTTTGCAAGTTTACGTAGCCGAGATTGTATTTTTCTAATCGATTTTAATATAATACCGATTATAAGTATTTCGAGGAAACAGGCGAACTATTTAAATCCTAAAGCCTAACCAAGGGCCCTTAGGCAGAATTTGCTACAGGCCCCGCGCTAGCTTTATCCGGCACTGCTTATGTATAGCCAAATTTAACTTTAAATATTATAATAAACGGCTCAAATGTTCAAGTATTTACTCCAACTTCCAGTTCGAGTAGAGACTCGGACAAGTTGGTGCCTGGTAGATAGTACCGGTGACCCCAGAGCTGGTGCTTTCCTTACTCAAAGAATAAGTATCGCAATACAGCGAGGAAATGCTGCCAGCGTTAAAGGTACACTGCCACAGGGCCCAAACTTTTTAAATTTGTTTTAATTTTAATTTTTATTATTACTATGTTGGTAAAAAAATGCTAAATACTGTATATTTGATTGTTATGTTTAGGTTCAAATAAACGTTATTGGAACAATATAACTCGATCTAAATGAGTTTAATGAGAAATTAAAAAATGATCAAAGAATTGCAATCGAATTGAGGATTTTCTGAATTTTCTTGAATAATGAATATGCAGTTTTAGGTCCGGAAAAACTGTTATATTTCATACTAGCGAAATTTGTTTAGCCTTAATATGATTTTTTACTTTTGTAGTAGCTACATATAGAACATTATGCTATGATACCCCACAGAGCCTGTTCGCTATTCCGTAACAAAAGTACCTACTGAATAAAACAGTATATATATTACAATTTAAAATTATCAAATTTTGACTCTCCATAAAATCCTTCGTCAGAGTTCAAGGGTTTTTAAAAAAAATACTAGAATTGGCTGTCTTTCGTATTGCGCTTAGCAACATATTTTTCGATGAATTTTTAACATAATATATATTTGTAACATATTATATATTTTTTTAACATATTAATATTTTTAGCTGTGTTAGCTGTGTTTTTGACATCCAACACCTTTTGTCTTCAGTCACCGTGACCACGCACGCTGTAAAGCACGCGAAACGTCGGATAAATTTAAAATTATGTTAAATAATTGTAAATTTATAATAATACATAACTTTATTAATCCGGTTAAAAAGTTTTTTCTTTAAATGTGTCAAATTAATTACCCGTACAATTTACAAATAATATTGTCAAACATCAATAAATATACCGACAAATTTATGCTAAAATCTAAAATCTGCTCTATAAAACAAACAATAAAGTTAAATAAAACGCATAATCCGTCAACAATCAGTTACGCTAACCAAACAAAAGGCAGCTACACAAAAGCGGTACATTTTTGTGTCCGACACGTACCGGTAATAATTCATTAAAGTATCCGATCAAAATTTTTACACTAAATAAGAAGGATGGAGAAGGTATCTTTACGCTATACAATTATTGGTTTGGTACTGTGTTCACAACCAGAAGCTAGGCCCCTAGGCTAGGCCAGCAGGCAGGGCCGTAAAAATAAGATCAATTATAAGAACTGGTATGTTGGTGGATGTACAATATATATTATAAATTATAATATAAAGACAACGTGAAAAACAGAATAATACGCCTTACAAAAATAACAGATGTGGTAACACATATATAAAAGTTTTAGTGAAAATGAGCCAGTCACATTTCCCGAGTTTGTGATTTGTGACAGATTGTTCAAAAAGACCCTTACTTAGAATCGCTTGGTGGAAGATAAAGGAGCGGACGCCCACCAGAAACCTGGAAGATGAAATAAAAAAGGTAGCGGGGAAATATTGAAAAATAGAACGAATAGAATTCATTTCTACAAATAGAAGAATTTGGAGGACGCCGTCACTCCGTCGGAGGTTGTGCACTAATATTATATATAATTATAACGTAAACTTAATGTAATTCTTATTTTAGTACTCGAATATAGGCACATTTCACCTAATTAGGTTTTTATTTAATAATGTCTGACCATGTGTTTTTAATTAATTTTTTTTTAAAACGAGTTCCTTAATCTCATTTCGACAGTCATAGACTTATATTACACTAAACAAATTAAATAGAAAAGACTATTAAATTTTTTCTAAAGCTTGAAAATAATCTTCGTACCTGATAAAGTTTCACTTTTGTAAAATTTGTATCTATTCGATATTTAATCTTAGAAAATTTTGTTAATAGTAAATTTATGCATTTCAATATCTTTTATCTATTAAAGAGCAGTTTAAAGATAAAAGGTAATATACCATATCATAGTTACAAAGTGGAAGACTAACGTAATCTAAAAAAGGTAAATTGTTAAATAAACACATCCATTTTCAGCTACGCACAGTGTTTCATACATCCACAAATTGTACAAAGTTTACTGCACAGGAAGCTTGTAGATTTGATCTTTGTATACCAATTGTGAAGGGACCCGCTCAATCTAATATATCAACTTCTTCCTATATTAACACGTTCAATTTAATAATAGAAGTTTGTTTCGTCTTTATATACGCTGTCTAGACAATACTGGACAATGCTGTAACCATAATGACAATCGGTTTTGAATAAACTCTATTAATTCATTTGGATGCTTTATCGGGATGTTTATGGTATAAAACTTCGTAGTTAAACGCTTTCTACAAAATAATGCTAAATTCGGTGCAAATATCTTTTAGATTTATGTAAACCAAAATAGTTTTAATTTAACATAATAATTATAGTTTAATTCTAAACATGCGAAGTAAGAAACTTACTTAAATATTCTCAAATTCATAACCACGTAAGCCCTCTCTATAATGAATTAAAATAAGAACAAGTAAGACAATAATATGATTTCGACAAATTTTATCGATCGACCACAGACTAGTTAATATAAATTAAAAGTCACAACATGGCGCCGTGGTAATGACAAAACTTAGCGCATGCGCGATGTTAGCTACTTTTGGCGCCATTTATAGTTTTCGGAATTTTGTGAATAAGTCTATGTGAAAAATGAGAAAAAAATTATTGCTATCAGAATTATATGGTGACATGCTGATGTTCAATGTATCGAATGCATTCCGCGTTGTCTAGGTAGCTTTATTAATCCCTAAACTCAAACTGACAAAAACGTATATAACGCTTTTAGTTTTGGACAATAACTATTTTTGTCTCCAACCCCTCCAGTCTCTTTCCTTTTTTCTCTCAAGTGATTTTGGTCAAAAAATGAAAACTTTCTTTCTTGGGGAAGGTCGTGATTACCAGTATTAGGTATACAGACAAAATTACCGGTGTCGAACAGAACAAAGATAATTTTTCTGTCGTCATTAAATGTGATGACGCAATTTAGACCTAACGATGCCTAATTTAAACAAGACAAAAACCAACTTGAAAGCCGTACTATTTTATTAATATCTATATTGTACCACCATTAATAAAAGTATTTTGAGTTCGAATTAGGATAAATAATTTACGATGAAATAGTGTTTTATTTAAATAGAACAGTATCGTTTGAATTTCTGAATACATGTATGATATAAATTGAATGATCACAAGTCAAAGTATTTACACAAATCTTAATGGTATAAAATTAATTATAATTATTATTATTTTTTTAATTACCTGGAGGTAAGAATTTAAAATTACAGACGAATTTAACTTTTTGCCTTAAGAATCAACAGCATCTTGATTCCAACCACAGACACGCGAGACGATTCGTGCGAGTTACGCCAAAGATTCGTCTCGCCTATTAAGCAGGGTCCACACTATGCCGCGGTAGGCCGGGCGGGTTGACCCGGGTGGGCTAAGCCGGGCGGGTAAGTTCGGTCCGGCACGACGTCCACACTGAAAACGAAGCCAACCGGGCTATTTCTACCTACATTATTTAGTTTCAACACCAAGACTGGTGATTTAGTTGAAGAGTACTTAAAATGAACAATAAAAAACCCTACTTAAACAAACTGAATCGAAAATAAAATAATTCGTCTACTTTGGTCGGAGGTTTAATTGTAACTGAAGCCGCTCGGGGCGCTCGGCACGTCCCCATTCTATATTTTTGTTCGGCTCGGCTCGGCTTCCTTTGATCTGTACCTACATTATGCGGGTTGGGATCGGCACGGCCCGGGCCGGCATTTTCTAACCCGGCAAAGCCGCCCGGGACGTCTACATCAACGCGGCTTAGGCCGCCCGGGTCAGCCCGCCCGGCCTACCCCGGCATAGTGTGGACCCTGCTTTACATTAAAAATAAGTTTACTATATACTATACTTTAAAGTAAAAAAAAAATCTCAGCATAGGAAGTTCCAAGTTTAAAAACTTTGACAAAAACTGAAACGATCTTTGATTTCTTGGAAACCGAATTTAGAGCGAAATACGTTGTATGAAATATTCACACTAACTGAAAAAGAATATTAATTTGACAGCATTTTTCGGAGAGCGTTCTAAGTAAATCAGATCACATCAAGTACTTACACATTTGTTAAAGGAGTTCAGTGGTTTTAATTCAGTCAAAAAATATATTTTCTGTACCTACCACTAAAGTATTTTTGGGAGCGTTCTTACACGAATGCATTAATCACATATTGTCATTTATTTCTTTCCAGAAGCGAAACTACGCGTTCGCTGGCATAAAAACAAAGAACTACTGGGCGATAGTGAGGTGCCTCATCACCTGATGCCGCCCAGGACGAGGATGTACTCCAACTTCAGTCTGCAGATTGAGCAACTCAATGAGAAGGATACCGCTGATTACACTTGTGAGGTAATCTTTTTTTAATTGGTGTCCACTCATAACGAGTCTTTGAGTTTTAAGGGTAATTAATGGAACTCAAACTCAAAATATCTTTATTCATATAGGTAAACAAGTACAATAATGAATGTCAAAAAATAAGTTAAATTAATTGTAAATATACATTTACTACCAGTTCGCAAGTCACGGGCGTAGAGCGGGCAAAAGGTACTGGCAAGAAACTTTCGGCCACTCTTTTTAATCGCTAAGTTTTGAGTTATACAAATTGTTTGAACTGGAGCAAATCGGTGACTGAGCTATCATGAGGATCATTGATTAGTGTTTTGTAAATATTATTATTGTTACCCGTCTTAAAAAAATACCGAAGGTCTTGAGCCTCGTATTTTACCTCGAACTCTTTCCGGCTCCCTTTGCCACATCTGCACTGTACGACGCCTAGTTTGCTTGGGACGGCCACGCTTCCGCTTTCTTTGCGGGTTCCAATCAAGCGCCTGCTTTGGGATGTAATTGCAATCTCTTCGGAGTTATGGCCTATCCACTTCCACTTGCGTCGCTTGATCTGATGGCGTTTTGTTTGGTTTGTGTTAAATTAGAACCATGTCTATCCTTTAATACTCTGCTATTATCTATATCTATACTAATATTATAAAGAGAAAGGATTTGTATGTAAGTACGTTTGTAACGAAATGGCTCAAAAAGTACTGGACCGATTTTAAAATGTTCACCATTTGAATGCTACATTACCACTGATTAATATAGACTATTTTAATTGCAAGAAAACAATAAGGATCCCTACTAACACTACAATAACGTTACTCAAGGTGTAAAAAAATGCCTATAAAATATCTAACATCGCATGCGCTGCGAAAACTATTGATGATAGAAAAAACAACACAATATTAAAGAACATATCAATTTATACAAAAAATTATTAAAAAAATAAACGTTCACCCGTGCGAAGCCGGGACGGGCCGCTAGTCTCTATATAAATATTCAATGAATAAGTTCAGTAATTTGACTCTACAATTGCTTCTTCATTGAGATTTTGTATCGTTGGCTTTATACTTCTCCGTTAAAATAAAAATTTGGCCTTAATTGTTTCTAAAAATACGATTCTAAGAGTCATAGCTAAGGCTTTTCTGTAAACAAACGTTACAATTAGAGTTGCGAAACGCGGCACTATCTTAGGAACAATTAATTTGTACGGGCACCGCCCTTCGCTCTTAACTAAGTAATTTGTGAATAGAGCCGCAGAGAATGTATCGATAAAATCAGTCTATTCGGTATACTATAAGTTACCAAATCAAACGATCTAGTATAAAACACAGAAAGTAAGAAAGAAAGAACGTCAATTGATGCTCAGCCAAGAATCGAACCTACCAGGGATGAGATTCTCACACTGAAGCCACTAGGCTAACATTGCTCACAGCCGATTATATAAAACACATATTATCCAAAACAATACACGTTAAAACGTTACATTTTATCGAAAGTAAACATCGGTAAGTGCCCATCACTATAATTGGTTGCTTGGGATCCGGTAGCCAATTATACAATTAAACAATTTGTTAACTCTTTTGTGGATGTTCACTTCGTGTTATTTTGTTATTTGTAGGTTGTAAGCCATATTATTATACGATAATAACGAAGTACTCTATGAAGAGTACTTTCGTTTTGTAATAAAAGCGGGAACTTATTAAAAACACTTTGAGTAGGTATAGTTCAGACTCTTGCTTCAAAACAATAAAATTTGGACTGTTAATGAAATTCCATTTTCGAATTATTTTTTCTAAGTTCTGTCGGGCATGTGTGTACGCACTCGAATTTGTATTTTTTTTGAGTAGTTCTATTTTCAGGATTTTCTTACCAGCTGTAGCGGCTTTATTTGAAAGGTGCACGATCTAAAATTAAACTAAAATTCCCTTAAAAAAGGTATTGTTAAAGCAACAGTTACTTTTCATTGTTTTAGCCCTTACACCAATTCAACAAAAAACATCGCAAAATAATGCCTACGTTAATACACATAAATACACTGTGGTGGAAGAAAGGTGCTGCTCTTTCTCCAATGTAAAGCGAGGATTCTTGTCTGGAGGACTGGCCGGCCCGAAGGCCCCAGTGCCTCAATGTTGTATAATATATCCCTAGTTGTCGAAATAACTGTGTTAGCGCAGAGTTTTTAGTTCCGGATTGGTGGTGTTTCATCTATAAGCCAAATCGAGCAAAAAAGCAGAACGGCCGTACCATCATTTTCTCGGTGTATTTCAGGCAATTTTCGACCCCCGATAACTTCGTTGTTGATAAAATTAGAAGCCTAAATTTTTAGTTACCGAGTTCAAATTTCATTCAAATAGCTCATCATAACTGCGTCTGGTAAGATCTCATTTAAATACGTTCGTAAATACTTCATTAGCTTCGGAAGCAATTAAGTTTCTAAAGAGGAAGTTCAATAAAGCTTTGTGTAATTAATCCTTAAGTAATGCCTCGGTAATGACGGAAAATACATAAAAATAGACTTATTCATTCACTTTTGATAATAATCATCTTGGATGGGTCTTATTTATTTAGTTATTAAGTTTACGACATCATACATAGAATTAAATCTACTGATTATTTTACAAAATCTTAAATATAAAATGTATGAAAATTAAAGTAAACATAATTTCTACATAAGGTCTTCCGTTTTCTCTGGTCAAAATCATGCCAAGTAGAACAATCCATTGATGCATCTGCGGATGTTTGAACGTACCGACTGTGGAGTTAAGTTAACGTATCAGCCAAAAAACTGCAAGTAACATTAGCAAAATATTTTAAAATTTATTAAATTAAATTTAAGCGTGAAATACTACTTTTTTATCTGCAATAAATAAATAAGATATTTCTTTATTAACAAAAAATACATACACTATTCTTACAGTACTAAACCATTACTATAATGTCACTAAGAAAATTTAATAAAAACCAACAACGGAGCTGGTGCTTGTAAAGCGGCTGAAAAAGCTAAAGCATGCAAATACAGGGGTTTAGGCTCCGAATATGATTTTGTCCCATTCGGTGTCGAGACCCTTGGTCCGTGAGGTCCTAGCGCTGTAAGGCTTTTTAAGGAAATAGCTAACAGGTTAAATATACATAAATAGCATCACAGGAGTGAGGAGACCAAAGAGCTGGCAGCTACCTCGGACAAAGAATTAGTCTAGCGATTCAAAGGGGGAACGCTGCTAGTATCTTCGGAACCTTGCCTAAAGGGACTCCTTTTAATAATATATTTTAGCTATTATATTATATTTTTAAGGTTTTTAGCTTCAAATAATAAAATAGATAATATGAAATACGTAAACACAATATTGCTACTTTGAACTCACTCTGCGAACATATAAAGACGTGGATAGTGTCGGAGACAGCATTCAGTAAACGCAACGTCTTTGATAACGTCTGTGCAACAGACTGGTTCTGGTCCTTGGCAAACAACCTTGGACTCCGCCGTCGCACATATCCCCTTGGTAAAAAGAACCCGAGTTCTTGGAGACCCGCTTGCTCACCACCCCCTTGTGTGTATCTACAGGTAATAAGACAAGAACCCTGGGGCCCTATTAGACAGACTCACACAGTTGAAGTACAATGTAAGTATAATTGTTTTTAAGTCATCTTTATGGGGATAAATAATTTCCTTTCAATGTGGTTTGAATTAATTTAATGTTACACGTAGACATAATCGATTGCATTTTAAAATAGACAAGTTCATTGAATGAGGTTTTATTAACATTTTGCTATTTTATTTATTTAATTAGTAATATTTTATTCGTTTTTTATTATATTATTTACTAAGTTTTCAATAACGTCTCTAGGGCAATCACAAAGAAGTTGCTTGTTATCGTTATTTAAACTTCACATTCTGACGTCGTCTCCGAATGTTTTATCTTTTGTTTCATTAAATCTAATACTGCTAGAGCTGGTGCTTTCCTCGCTCAAAGAATAAGTATCGCAATACAGCGAGGGGATTCACCAGAATTAAAGGTACTCTGCTACAGGGACCAAATTTTTTTAAATTTGTTTCATAATTAAAAATTATTTTGATTTTTGTAAAGCGATGAGAATGAGATGAAGATGAAACAAATAAATGAGAAAATACTGCGTAATTTAGGTCCATATATTCTACCCCTCCCATGTAAAATCTTGTCAAGTTTAATGCAGTAATTTAATATAAATATATTTTTGTTAGACTCACCATCAATCAAGACTATCCCAGAGGAAGGTTTCGTAGAGGTCCGTAAGGGTGATTACGTCGACATCGGATGCGAAACCACTGGTACTCCCCAACCTATTGTTGACTGGAGTAAAAATGTAAGAACCAGGCATTACGCCTCGTAGGAGTTCATTTCTATATTCAAAGACGTCTATAGATGCATCATTACCATGCGTAATCCGAGACATTTATGGTATATAACAGATACTAAATAATAAAAATAACACAGTGGCGCTACAACCTTTGTTGTTGCTAGGTGAACTCATGGCTGCAGATAGTCCGGATGTCATTCTGTGCTCAACACCGTTCATTAGCTGTCAATCAAATAGGCGAATAAGGAGTAGGTGATCAAGAGCCTCCTGTTTAGCCGTACGAGTTGTTATTAGTTAAGACTAAGGCAAGGTTTACTCACGATTATTTCCTTCACAACGTTCGAGCGAATGTTAAAAGTGTGAAGCAGAGAAAGAAATAGCCCATTGATGGACAACAGTGCGATTCTGTAACTCACTTTTGACCTCAGGGAGAGAGTTTCGCATCTGCTCTAAATCATGTTAAGAGTCATTTTTTGATTACACTGATTCCATTAATCAAAAACTTCATAGCTAGCACCTTTTCGGAGATCAAATCATAAATAAACAGATTCACAGAAACGTCTTTGCCGCGGATTGCGGTACGTTAAATCATTGTTGTTGCTGAGTTGCAGGGTGAACCGCATGGTCCCATTAATAGAGCTCTATTAAATAAGTATCTGACACTTTCCGGCTAAACACCGTTTTAGTAGGCAGACTGGTTTACGAGTATGATTAGCTCTGCTGCGACCAAGGGCTCCGGCGGTGGCCCCTTAAGCAAGCAAACGAGTTCTTATTTTCAAGGGAAGATTTTTGCGAACAAACTTTGACGTCTTATTTGCGACGAACTGTGTTTGGCGTACTCGCTACAATGTTAAACAGGGATGGTGAAGATCCCTGCAAGAAATGGCCCGCTCCCAGCTCTTAGAACAGGATTGTCTTGGCCGATGTGAAGGGCCTTGCTGTTCCATAAGTCCATTCTAGATCATTCGTTTCCGTAAAGTACCTTTTAGTATAACGGCTGATCGCGATGGTGGATGCTGACAAGGCTACGCTGTTACCGTGTCTCTGCGCCGGGTGATTGCTGGTGGCCCCGTGGGGTTCTAGAACCTGGGACCCGGAGGATTCTTCCACAGAACCTTTCCCCACCAGGTCAACCTGCGACGGCTATGGTAGGCGTATTATCCCACGATGCATTGTACTGAAGGACTTTCTAACATCTATACAACGCCAGGATCGTCCAATTGGCATAAAGTGCAAAGGCCCAATGGCTGGACTTGCACAAAGGTACACAGACCCCAAGTTCGTTACTGGACTCACAACCCGGTGGCAGGACCGTAATATTAACCCGGCAGACCGAGGCTGCGTTGGCTGGGATGGGTTGTCAAGGACTCGAAACAATAGGTTCGCCATTGGAAGCACTAGATATATTGCGATGGCGAAGTGTACTTGGGAGGCTAAGGCGCACAAGGGGCTGTATAACCATTGAGATGATGATATTAGTGGGTATGTTAGGCTAGATCGCAATGTTAGACAATTTATTAGTAAAAACGCAACGGGAGTCTCTCAAAAGGATATCTTTCCTCTCTCACATTTTTCTTTCTTAACTTGTAGAATCTTTTATTTAAATGCAATATCTAACACACAATTTGAACGAGTTGTGACGGAGATTATCTTGTATCTAAAAACAAACTTTTCAGGTGTATAAAATTAATATATGTATATAGTATATACATATTACATTATGCATGTATATTATTTCGTATGGCATATCTCTAACATAGTCGAACCTGCCTACGTTTTTAAAGCGGGATTAAATATAATTTGTGTCACAGACGCACCAGTAGTGACAACGGATCGCAGTTTCGTCCACACAGCAGTTGGTCTTCGGGCGGTTTTGACAGCGAAACTGGAATTCGCAGTTCCCCCAGCTAAAACCACCTGGTTCAGAGATGGAAGGACTGTTAAATTGGATGATAGGTATTATAAATTGTATTAATAATTAATATAACTGTTCTTTGCTTCCTCCATCCTTTTCTCCCCAGAAACCTTTATGATGTCGTCAGCCCATCGCTTTTGTGGTCTTGCCAGGTTTCTTTGTCCTGAGTCCCCTGAGGACCCTGAGTGGGTGGCCGCGGCGAACCACATTTTATATAATTACACCTTGCAATATGGTCTGTTCATTTCCTTCGTATTTTGTGAATGTATTTTTCACCCATCATTTCACTGTCGACCCACAATTAATGCATGCATGCAATGCATTTCTAAGCTTATTTTATTTATATATACACAACCCTAAGCTTTTTATATTATGTATCGTAACAGGTTTGATATTTTTGCTGTGTACTTTATTTCATATTTAAAAATAGTTTCAATGTAGGTATGCGATATATAGTTTAATAATGTCAGCATTAAGGTTAAGGGTAGGTAATGACTTATAATCCGTTTTTCATATACGGGAGTCCAACTTAGCTCTAAGGTTCGACTCAAAATCTTAGCATTTAAGTTTCGTTATTCAAATTATACGATATATTAATTAGCAATTCACGCCTTTACTTTGACTTATTTTTTTTCAGAGTGGTAATGATGGTACAAGACAATTTACATCAGCTGATATTCCGAACCGTGCGAAAGTCGGATCTCGGAAACTTCACTTTCCGCGCGGAAAACAAACTAGGCATGGCCGATGTATCTTTCAAGCTCACGGGTGAGGAATAATTTATTAATAATCTCAACTAGACTTACTGACTGACTAGATCTAACATGTACCTACTAAGCTATGGCAAATAATAAGTAAAAATCTGCAAAAGGGCTTCGGAAGGAAGCATGCTTAACAAAAGAATTGACCGTAACAAAAAAACCTTGTCTAAATTCATAATTTCACCTAAAAGGAAGTATAAGTCCCGCACGTTGATATTGCGACTGGCGGCCATCTTAGTGACGTAGTCGAACTGTTAGGCTCAGTACCGTGCGCAATGTCAGTCAGCGCTTACGCGTATTAAGTATATCTACCACGTGTTTTTTATTGCTTTTTATTTTCGTTATCCTGTTTTATTTTTGTTGTTTAGTTTTGTTATCATACTAATCCTATTAAAATGAGAAAGAAAGTAATTAACAGCCGTGCTCGTGAAACATTCAGGCAAATAAATTAATATTATTATTAACTTATTTGTTGTCTGTACTTTTCTGCGATGGATGATGTCACGCAGCTGTTATTGTGACAAGGTTCCATCGCAATGTCAACGTGCGGGGCTTATAATGGAAAAATGCCGACCAAGCAACACCGTCTTTCAGTTTGACCAATCACAATCAAACGAAACGGACTATAGTATTGTCTTCAATTTAACACGCTTACCGCTCATTATTTCTAGAAGCTTGGCTTAATGATACGAATGCTAATTTTAGGAAAATCGGACTAACATTTAAAAGTTATTTAAATGTTAAAATATTTCTTTAGGTGTCCCGAATGTGGCATCTTTCAAAGTGGATTCTTCGTTAAACAAACCAACCCCCGTTACATATACTCTCTTTTGGGAGGTCGATTCATACTCTTCCATTATTGGTAAGTTTGTTGTTTTATTTACTTAGTTAATATTATGTTTGTATAGCTATTCTGCCTGTTCCATTAATCTGACTTTATCACATATAAGTTCCCATAACCTAATGCATGGTGATCTAAAGTGGCAAGGTAGCAGTTGAAGATCCGTGGTCATGAATATTGTTATAGATTCTTCACATTCGCAAAATATATAATAGATATATTGTTTATGAAATGTTGTGTGTGTGTGTGTGTGTGTAATGCAGGTAAATCCTAAAGTTGGGAGGCAGTAATACTCTTATATGTCTGTAATTTACTAATTTTTAATTTTGACATGTTGAATGTTTTAATGTGACGGTACTTTCAGAATATAACTTATGGCTGCGGCCATACTACGGACGACTATCGACAACAGAGCCCGATGCGTTCACAACTAACGCTCCCGCTAATCTGTGGAGCAAAATCGTTGTTCCGGGCGATTCAAGTGATGGTAAAATGGATTTGTAAATAGTTTTAAAATCAAAATATTTAAAAAAAAGGATGTGTACTAAGCTTGTAGTATGATATAATGTCTTTTAAGAAAATATACAAATAGTTTAATAAGTTTTTAATTTTGTTTGAGTTGTTTAGTTTATTAATTTTTAGGTCCGATTCATAGTGCTTCGTATATGGTGCGTGGTTTAACTCCATCCACAGTCTACGAAGCGATAGTTACTTCAAGAAACAGGTATTCATCAATATTAAATACTGTTTAAAAAGTTGATAGGGGGTTGCCCTTTGCAAGTTTAATCTTTAATTTATTAATTCGACTGGCAGCCCGCATTGTTTCTATTTAAAAGAAATATAGATCTACCTCATATTAAGGTGCCTACTTTACTAAAGCTACAAATAAAAAAAATCTTAGACAACCGCAATACTAAGTCATGTTTTGTTTTTTAGATTTGGTTGGAGTAAGCCCTCAGCAACTCTACATTTTGCGACTGAGCCTGGATGTACGTATTAAAATAGTTAATGTATATTATTAAAAAAAAAATCTGCAGCGACACAACTCTGTGGTAATATTATAACCAAAAGTAATTTGCTAGCTTCATAACATAAATTCTAAGGTGTGATAGTCTGCCGATAGTGAGTCTATTTATTAGTATTCACACAAAAACGTAAATTGATATTTTTTTATTTGTACAGTTGGTAGAACATTACCATCTTATGAAGAAACAGATATAACGCCGACTTTAGAGGAACCACAAAAAGAAGAGGCATTCAATAAACAAAAGCGCACATTTTTGAAAGACTCGATACGTCAAACGCAGCGCGCCATAGTGCTACCGCCATTTTATTAGGTTCTATTTACTTTTACTTTTTAATGAGATGAATTAATCTACCCATGGCCATAAAATTATTTAAAAAAAAAGAGATAAATTAAACGGTAACTCCCTTTAAATTTTAATGATTATAAAGATTATAAAATCCAAGAATTAAAGGTCTCGCCCTGAAATATAAATTTAATTGTAAATAATTTATTTTAAATTGTGCCTAGATAATAAATAATGATCGATTCATTTAAAAATACATTTTAAGTCAATTTTAAATAAGGTAAATCGTTAAAATGAATATGTACATGTTTGTTAACTTTGGAGTTGATTTGAAAATTAGTTTATTTTATTACTTACGACACAGGATAATATTTATAAAATAAAGTTTTATTCTAATTTATCTGCCTTTCAATATTTTATCCGAGACAAAATAGTTTCATCAAAGTTTATTCTCAATATCTTGTTTATTTCATAATGCAGTACCTGATAAATAATAATAACAATTTAGTACATCTTTAAGAGATTTTTATAATAAAAGCCGTTATTTGAATGATTATTTATTCAATATTTTGTATGACAGCATACATTAATAACCCTGTAAGGGTCCACACATCAGACAAACTTTGGTTTACTTTAATAATCTGACATTTATTCATATAGACACTAAACACACATAATTTATACTTATTCTACTTATTAAAGTCTCTTTATATATCTAAATTTTTTAAGATTCGAAACTGATGTAGTATATAATATGTATTGTTAATTAAAAAACATTTAAAATACATTTTCCTTACATAAGTTAGATTATTTACGAATTTATATTACTTACGAATAATTAAATGAAAATGGACGAAAAAAGTTTAGGTGCGTAACGGTTGGAAATATAAGCTGGCGACCATAGACAATATTCACTTTCATATGGCAACAAGATTCGGTCCTGTCATCGCTGTCATAATACAATTATGGCGGCGAATCGAAATACGAAATCCGAGGTAATTCACGAGTGAGCCCACCCTCGCAAAACACATTGGTTTTCATATTTTTATTTTTACACTTTAAATACATTTTTTTATTATTTTATGTAGACAAGCATAAAGATCCAACCTAACCTGAACTTATTTTGTACCATTAGAAAAATCATTGGTCGATATTAACTGAATTTTAAAGGAATTTAAAAAATACTGATTACACTTCAAATTGAAGACTAGATCAGATTAAAGATTATATAATAATAATGATTAATAATCCTTAACATTTAATTGTTATAACATTAAAATATTATATCTAAATTTCTTGCCAGTGACATTACGTTTTAATATTCAAAAATATTTTAAGCAAAAAGATAAAATGCTAGGTAACGATTCTACCCGTATTTCTATAAATAAAAAGTTTTGTACGTGTTTCTCCGAATCAAGACAAAAATATAGCAGATTTTATTAACTAACGGCCTACTATTAGTAAAAAATACTAACAATAAAATGTGATGTTTGTAACACAAGACAGGTTACGAAGATATGTTGAATTACGTCAACATTTCAACATTTATTACATTACTAAGAAAAATCATGGTATCTCATTTTAAAGTAATCAATTAGAAGAAGATAGCATGACTTTATATATCATACAATATAACACTTGCCGACACATTTGATCGAAATTGTATCACTAAACCAAGTATTGGTCAATATTGGCCAATGTCAAATGGCCAGTATTATAAATAGAACAAGCAAAAGATAACATCTATATAACCAACATATAGTTAAAACAATCTTCAAAAATATGCTGAACTTACAACCAGATTAAATTTAAAGCCATTTAAAATGCATTAACAAAGCAACACATGTAATAGAAATAATTCTGCATGTCTAATAAAAAAGTAACTGCACTGTGGAAGACCCTTAATCAAAATTCTTTCTTGGAAAGTAATAAATCACTTCTATATGCAAACAGAAATATTATTAATCTTATGAAAGCTTTACTGGCAACATTATTTTTTGTCACCACTATATCAAGCATTACTTATAATTCAAATTCAACATTTAATAAGAAAAAAAATCGAGTATGAATTTGTTTGAGTAAAAAGTACTCAAAAATATCAAATTTTTGTCATGGAAACGGCTATAATATAAATTATGACACTAAAGTATTCGTCTAAAAGTAAAATACTATTGAATAAAGTATATGAATACCTCTTATGTATAGACATTTTCTTTTACGATAATTGCAGGTACTTGTAAATACTTTATGCGGATAGGTAAAAATACGAAAAATATCATTTACCGTATAAGTAACGGAAATATTACATCCCTATTTAATTCAATTCTGAAAATTAGGAACAATTTCAAAACATGATTTTAAATATGTTTTATACATATCTTTGTTCAAAACATTTTTGTAAATATTGATTGTATGTAAATAAACAATATAATCGTTGCAAGTGATTTTTGTCACTCAATATTTCATTGTTTTAAAACTAAGTTGATTTCAGAAATCAATACATATATTTCACATTTCCTTGGTAAGTCTAATTCACATTAACCTCTGGCATAAACGTTATTTTACGAAGACAAGCAGAAAGACCCATTACAACTTGTCACACACATCGATTGAGTGGTATAAAATTTTCTTCCTTTCCTTTCGAGTCTAAAACAGCTTTTAAGTCTTTTGCACTGAAGTCCCATCGCACTCGGTCATTGCCCACCAAATATATATAATATATATAAAACATGAACCGCTATTTTTGGCTCAGCTTGGCCAAGTTTGGACTAGGCCAGAACCGGCCAACTGAGATCTCGGTTTAAACACTGTTAAACTATTGCTTTAAAACAAACACTAGTTTCACTAGCAACTTAGATGATTGTAGTTATAGATCATTTCACTCGACCAATGCTAGAACACTTCTTGATTTTACACTGCACTTATTAACTTCACATTTCACTTGTTACGATATATGATCATATGCTATTTCCTCATTGGGGCATGGGCCCCTCCAGCTATTCGTGCAGACCTGGCCGCTTTGTGTACGCAACGCAGCGGCAAATAACACCATAGACAAGGTACCACAAGGCTTAGAAGAGTAATTCCGATCCATCTGAAAATATACTCAGTTGCTTTTTATCCTAACATTGGTCTAAGGACAATATTATTTTTACTGTATTACATTAATTGTACGTTTCAACTGTTGATCAATTGAAAAATACAATTATTCAATTAAGATTTTATTGGTCTTTTTCAGGCATTAACTCTCGAATTTTAAATCAAATAAGCATTTATAAAATAAATAATATTTATTATTATTACATACAATACTGTGAGACTTCTGTCTATAACAAAAACAAGTATCTTACTAAGCATGTAAAACCATGCTTTAGTAGCTGTTGGTTACGCACAACTTAAGAATGTTCACAAAAATAGAAATACGCGTAAATGCCTTTGATAGTAATTTATGAACTATTATAAAATGTTAACCTCTTAGCGCAGTTTTCGTCTGGTCCAGTGCAGGCGCAGGGATGCATCGCGAAGTCACCTTCTGAATCCGACATACAGTGGTACAGCATGCACTGAAAAGTAGTTTTAAAGTAGATTTGTATTATGTATGTCTGTCGGTGCTGTTATTAATTTGTTGATTGTCATTTTCAAACATATTTAAAAAATGGTGCGTGTACTTATGTACGCGCGTAAGAAGTTATACTTCTTTGGTTTTCTTTATTTTTTTTAAATATTAAATAATTAATAATAAATATTTAGCGTTAATAATTTAACAATATTTAATATTAAGTATATTATTCAATTATTAATTAATATTAATAATAATTATTATTATTTTATTATATTATTAATTCAATTTAATAACTAGGTATGTTTCATAACCTTTTAACTAAGTAACAATAGGTCTTTGTGAAAAAGCATTGCAAAATTTCTTTGAAAAAATAATTAAAACTCCTTTATTTGTTTAAAAGGTACTACAAATGTCATTATGGTCATTCAAAATTCTTGGCATAGCTGCTAACTTCACGCATATTCTATTTCTTTTTACTTGTAGATTGTCTTATTCCCATCTCGCTCGCGCACGCTCGGCGGCCATACTGATAATTTTGTGTCACGGTGCGCGCGCATCGTAAAATTTCACTCTCATAAATTTTTCATAACGCGCTGAGGGAATTAGATAATATGTATTTAAATATGATTCTCCAAAGCTTATGAATGTGTACTAAATGTCGTATTTGTGTACACTAATTTCTTTGATACTAAATCGTAGCGAGGTGATTCTGGTCTCTTCCAACTTAGAGAACAGTCCATGTTTCAAAATAAACAATACATATTTATTTGAAATAAAAAAATACTTTTAAATAAACCTAGTCTTACCTGAGCACATTGTATGCAGCTGACGCGATCGACGCAAGTTTTGAAGCAATCGGGGGCGTATTCACACGCTCCGTTTCTATTCGCGCTCTCAAGATACCACTCGTGACAGTGTCTGAAATTTATATATACTCAATAAATGTTTTTGTACATAAAAAAATTGTATTAATAATTGAAACATTCTAATAATATAAGTTACATCTATATAAATATGGTTTTAAAGGAATATGGTTTTAAAGGTATGATTTTAAAATTAAAAAAAAATAAGAAAATTGTTTTGAAGACAAAAGAAATTATTACTTTTCAAATAGGTACTTGAATTATATACATTTTTTAAAAGGTAAGGAATTAAAAAAAAGTCTAACTATATATAGGCAAATGTATGTATGACATTTTATGGTGAATCTATTATTATTAATTAATCTAAATATATAAATAAAAGACGTTTTAGTTACACTACTTATAACTCAAGATCGGTTGGAACGATGTTAGTTATCTATTTTTTTTGTGAATTCTTCTCCGCTCCAAATAGCAGAATAAGTAATTAAATGTCGGATAAGTTATCGAATAAAAATAAATAAATAAATTTTACGAATTTAAACAGCATGTGGTGCCATCTGTTGACGAAACTACGCATATAAATAAAATTACCGCACTGATCAACATAATAAATTGTACTTAGTTAATCTTATGTACACAATTTAACATTAACTTCATATCAAAAGATTGAGAAATAATTTCTAAGACGGCTGACCTGAGAAAGGTTTTTATGGAGGAAAAAAATGGTATGTAAATCATATTAAGGTGAAACAAAGTTCGCGGGGGCAGCTAGTACATGATAATAATTAAAATAAATAGTAAAGTAGTAGTCTTTTAAATCTATACATACTGTCTTGTATGTATTTGCATCATAGAAACAAGGTCACTCAATACAGAGGATTAATAAAATCAGAAATGTGTGCTCCATGTAGTAACCAGAGTTATTCCCATAATTATTATTAATAAAGGCCAGGCAATATCTATCAATTTACCTGCACTTAAGTCTAGCTTGAAACGTCTCGGCAGGTTTCTTATCAGGCAAAGGTGGAGGTCCGCTGTAAGAGCATTTCTTTATAGATCCTGAAAAAAGAACACATTTTACTATAACACATTTCTAAAATAAATCAGTTATTTGCATTCATTTCAAAATATATAGAAACTATTGTAATAAGGTTATTAATATTTATTTATTTGTAATCAATCTAATTTTGTACATTGCTATAATTAAAAATATATAATACCAACAATAACGCATTTTTTGTGTTTTTCTGAAGTCAATGTGGTTTTTTCGTCAAATATGAACAGTTGGCATACTAAGTAAAATTAGGGTACGTAATTGTTATTTGAATAACAGCGCAATTTCTCATTCTTTTATCTTCTTTATATAGACATAATTATATTGTTGAATTTTTAATATGTTACTTTTTCATATTATTTGAGTTACATACTAGGGATAATTTGAGTAGATATATTCATTACCAGAATCTCTCTTCATCAATACCGGCTTGGTGTTAGGCGAAGACTTCTCTGAACTAATAATACCACCAGATCCCACTTGCGGATACATATACTCGTGAACCTAATAGGGAGAATAAGTTATACTATTAAAAACAACAACATACAGTTGTATGAAATTTGCTTTTTAATTATGTAATTAATTTTGTTTACAATTAACAATATATCTTGGTTGTATTTTGTCAATAATACTCACGGCAGAAAGTTGTACGTAGGGGCATCTCTCCGAGTCGTCATCAACGACTTTGTCAGCGAATTGAGACTCGTATTGTTTCAGAGATTCTGAAAATAATAAAAAATAAAAATAATTCTGATTTTATTCATCAAAACATGAAACATTCATAATCCACTAAGCAGTGTACACATTTATTTTTAATGTGACTTGTCTATGAAAGCTACAAGGAAAAATAACTATTAATTTTGTTAGTTCTTAATGCTTTATAAAATAATGTACTGTAATATAAAATGATACTAGACATGTAATAAAAGAAAGATTTAAGAAAACTTCATACACTTTCGATTATATTTAAAAAATCTTAAGCCGGCTGTTCATACTCGCAGACATTATGATACTAGCCGAAAGCGAGCATGTACAGTGCTTCCACCTCGCGCCCTTTGGTCTGGAGACGAGTGTGTCCAATTGATTCCTCTACTAAAACGTTACGATGAGGATTGAATTACACGTTATTGTTAATATTATTTTCGACTTTCCAGTACTTTACACCACATAATGGTAACTTTTAGGTATAAAGAGTCACTAGGTGGTCACGAATCGTTTAACTATTGGCTACAGCTAATCTCGCATGTTACCTGATAAAGGGTGTCTTGGAAGAGTAATAGCTGATAGAATAGGCGTTTGTAGATCGTCATTTCGTCGAACACGACTGGCTGTAGAGTTTTCAGAGCTGGAACGCGAGTCCGTTGGAAGATTCAGACACTGGAAAAATATAAAAAGGAAATTTAGAGTTTTTATAAATAAAAAATATCAACATAAAAAGAAAAAATCTTTGATATTTTTAAAAAGACCTACCTCAAATATATTATTTTCTTCGTCATCATCTTTTCGTTCTAGATTTCGTGGTTTGTAAGAATAGTGTGATGGCCACGAGCCGCCCAGACCTGAAAAGGAAACATAAATATTTGTATTTAAATTAGCAGATACAATTTTATTGAAATTTAAAACTCAACACATAAAAACACATAAAAATTCTTCTGTAAATATACTTTCATCGTCTGAACCATATCTGGCGACAATTTACCACTATGTAATTCAAATTTATGAATGTATGTATAACTCACCGTGTAGGAATCCAGTATACGGTAGAAGGGAAGCAAAAGAAAGCACATTAGATAAATTAGTTCACGTCTAAGCTTATTAAACATTTTTAATCTATACAAGCTACCTACGATACTCTGGTATAAAATAAGGAGTAATTTCAAAGGACCAAAATAAACTTAAAATTAGTTTTTAGTTAAAAAGTACATTCCATTAACTTGCATATTATAGTTTAACGATATGAATTAAATTAAATATCTGTAAATATTAGTTTATTAGTTTTGACATTCATCATTTCATATTCGCATACATATATTTATTTTCACTTCGTTGTACGCATTGTAAAGAGAGAAGATTTGTATTTTTGTAACGAATATTTTTTATCTATGAAAAACCAATGATAATAAAACTTAAATAATTAGGAGGACAACAGGGTAGCCCTCACCATCCCTTCTTAGTGAATTATATAAAACACTGGTATGGAATATTAAATCAACTGAATAATGACTATGTACTACTAATTAAAATATTAAAACAAGTGTTAAACATACAAATCACGATAATTTCAGAAAGGAATTCTTAAAAAGTGATTTGAGAGAAGATAGCGTTAAAGTACATTGATGAGAAGTGAGTTTCATAGCTTTATTGCGCAGATACTGAATTAATTCCGAAAAAGGAAGTGATGACTGATTTTTAAGGTCACATCTTTCAAGGAGAGTTCTTCTTGAGATTCTAAAGTCGTGAGTAAACGTGATTTGACATACGACAGTCATACTTAGCATATTGAGGAGTACTCTTCTGTTAAGTCTTTGATTTAGTTAAACGTTATTTTATTTTATCTCACACACGGTTTTATTGTGTTTTTTTATATTATTTATTTTACTCTTTAATGTATAATATTCTACGCTCTTCACATATAATTATTTAACTAATGTAAACAAAATATTGTAAAACAATTTTAAAAGAGTAAGTGTGGAGTTTCTTGCCCATTCTTCTTCACACGAAACTACCTTTTGGAAGGGGCAACTAGAATCTTCTTTGTATTTTGTATGACGTTGAAAAGTGCCATTTTAGGTGGTCTAATGGAAATAAATGATTTGACTTTGACTCTGAAATCTTAGCATCTTACCGTCTAACAATTCTTCTAGTGCGGTTCGTACGCCTTTGTCGAAGGCCCTCGCATCGGCCGCCGTTTGAAAGGTGAGGCCGAAACGTTTCTCCTCAGTGAGCCAGTGGTGGAATGTTGGCATCACTTTGTGGTACTGGAAGTCTTTCTGTATCGTGCATTCGAGGACCACCTGGAAATTTTAAAAATATATTTTAATACTAATTCGCGTTATTTGTTGATTTTGAATTATATTAAATGTGTATGTGTATAACTTTATAAGGAATATACTATTACAGTTTTATTAATGTATTTTTTAACACTTTCTTGTGTTACATATTTGGTACATTTATATACATTCAGATAACATAACTTAAGGACGCAATGGGCGGTCTTATCGCTGACAAGCGATTACCAGGCAACCCTAGTAAGGAAAAATACTTAGGGTTAAGTACAAAAGTGCATAATTAATTTAACAAATAAAATTACACATGTAAACTTACACAATTACAAAAAAAATACAGTTAGCTATGCATAGAGCTTAGTGGCTAAGGGGTTTCGCAAATAAAATTCGATTCCTCGGAGCGCAGATAATACATAAATTTGTATATAATATATTGACCGACAGACCGCTGGGTCAAAGACGTACGTCAGAGGCCATAAAAGGTACTTCCGTGTAGCAATGCACTGGTCAATTACCTTGGAACTAACCCTTAGAGGTCGGCAATAGTTGCTTTCGTCGATGCTATAAAGGAGCATTTGTTGTGCTAGATTTTTGTGAATTTGTCATGGCTTATGTACACGTTAATGATTGATGTACGATGCCCAAGTTGTAAAAGATTTCGATGAGGTCGAGCCATTATTAATAGTTGGAACGGTTCTATGAAGTGGGACTTGAATCCAGGTGTCTTAAACCACTAAACGGTGAATGTTCTGAAAAGAGCTGCGCCATAACAGGTACCTTTGAGTTCTAATATTTGCGTATTGATGGGACTTTTATGATATAAATTCGCCCTGGACACAATTGAACAAAGACATAGCGTGGGAAACTGGTAGCTGGCCTTTAAAAATTATTACGCTCTTTTCTTGAAAGACTTAGTTAATTATTTTTTAATTGGTTCGTAAATTAATTGCAGGTGTGTCATAGGCAACTGTTCCAAGATTACAAGCGGAGGTATAACAGCGGCGTGTACTGAGAAAAATTGTAACACGCTCAATTATGCAATAAAACACTAATACAAATCTGGCTGGTGCTTTTGTTTCTCAGCTTATCCCTGTAGAATGGTCTTACACTGGCAATATAAGTAAATATCGTTATACTTTTTACATAACAGAAATATTATTCATCGTAGTATACAGATATATAAAGAAGATAGTATTTGTAAACTTTTCATCTGCTAAATGTACAAAGTTGTAATTTTTTGGTCATAAATGGCAACATACGACATGCGGTGCAACGCCTGTCATACTTCTTTCATGATAAACTTACTCTAGTACTATTCAGTGGTCAGCTACGCTTAAGTAACCCTTATAGTAGACAACATTTTTATAACTATAATTACAAACAGGGACATTTTTTTATACATTTTGAGTTAAGTAATAGAGACATATGGAACCTTAATTTGATGTACGGCCCACGCCGTAAGCGGACGTTAAGGTCTGCATTATTAACAATATTTAACGGTTTGTGTAAGAGTGTGTGTATTTTGGATGAACTTTCAAAGAATAAATGAGGCTTCATTATTATTAGGCGACCAGTCTTGTGAGCCCAGGATTTAGGAATCTATTTGTTGATATATATCTGCCGCCCATCGATTCCAGTATCAGCCTGTGGTTGCCTTCCTTTTAGGCAAGTAGTGCGCTCTTGGTCTTGAAAGACCTAAGTGAATTGGTCCTCACAATACTTATAATGGTTAGATGGATCAACATACTGGTGCTCACGACTGGCAAAAAATATCTGAATTAACGCTCTGTTGATATACGACCGAACCCATTAACCTGGCTCAATCCGTAATCCACCATCTTTGTTAGCTGCAATCTGTAATCCAATGTTGGTAACAAGAATTTGGGCCAATAACCTGTCGACGGATTTTTTAGTAATAGCCTACTCTAGTACGATACAAGTTAGCCTAGATATAGTTTTTATTATTAATAATTACCAGTTGATGAAGCTCTTATTTCAACAGTTATTATTTTAACAGATCCACTTTAACTTACACTCATACACTTTCTACCTTAAAAATTTAATTTGTATAACTGTTTGTTATGTTTTGAACTTTCACATGTAAATGATTTTAATGTTATTTGTACGGTTTTATTACTTTTTTGGCTTAGGATTAGATATCAAATTGTGTGAATACTTTAAAACTGGAACATCCAAGTATCAGCATTTTATCCTTCGCCAAAAATGAATTCTCTTCTATAGGAGTTTGGTATTGGGATGCAGCATAGGGAATGATTGCTCACAGTCTTTAGGTCTAAAGGATTTCAATCTTAGACTCGACTGGAAATAAATATTGAATTACGCTTTGTTGATAATAATTGGTAACATAGAAATCTCACCGTATTGTCGCTGATTCGTTTCCCGTGAATGTAATACTCGTAGGGCAACATTGGCGTCGGTGCGTCGCTGCTGCTCTCGCAGGCCGCATCGGGTATGCCTGTCATTCAATATAATATTAGTATATTTCTTTAAGATTATTTTCATTTATTATAAAATATGCGACTCATAGCATATTTTGAATATAGAACCCACTTTTAACTGTCGCCCATTATTTTGATTAAGGTTATTTTTAGTCAGCCTATAAATAATATAGCTTTACAATGTGTTTTAAATGTAAAAAAATATTTATTTATTAATACTTCGATGCAGTAATACAGAAATACAGTACAATTAAAATAATTAAGTAAATACTGCAACTGGCGGCCTTATCGCTTTCGAGCGATCTCTTCCAGGCAACCAATATCAGAAAAAGAAAAATTGAGGTAATGCGCGTCACCTCGACCTCTGGTGTTTCACGATCGAGCGCTTACGATACGAATTATGGGCACATATGTTCAAAGGCCGACATTAGGAATTTATTGCTGTCACATTAAAATGTATTTTACCAGTAACGAAGTGTCCCGAGCGGCGGCCCACCATGACATCGGCGAGGCCGCCGCCACTGAGCGCCACCCATCCGCCAGTGCCCTCGTCGCGACACATTACTTGCGCACGAACACGCACCACACAAACACTGAAACGTATAGTACCATCATCAACACTCTTTTATCATCATTGGTATTCTGAAATGATCAAATGTTTTAATGCCAATTAACCATGCTAAACTTGATTATTAAAAACTGGTTTATTATTTTGAAATTAAACAACTGATATTTCTCGTGCACATGTTATTAAACGCGTGTATGTAGTAAAGTGTATACTTTAAACCTTACTCCCGAATAGGAGTAAATTATGAACATCATGCCGCGAATTCTCAGCACTCAGAATGATAGAGAAAAAAATCTGTACTTGACGTATATTCGACGTAATATCAAAACGGTGCCACCCGTCCCATTAAAAGGAGAGTCAGTTTTCATATTAACTTGTCTTTCTACAGGTATGAGAGCTCATTGAGGAATGAACAAAAATAATCTTTAATAGCTTGGAACTATAGGGAATTCGTGGTGTAAGCTGAACAAATTACCGACGATTGAAAATTATCAGTACATTAACAGATAATTGTCTAAACTATGTAGTTATTGTTGCAACCTTATGAAAGAATTAGGTGTAACGCGATGATAATATTTCGTACTTTGTTTAGCATATGACATTTATTGGCAGAAGTTTTGAACGCTTGCTATATTCTATTATTCGCATATAATTTATGTCTATTATAATAGACCTTTAGTGGCTAAGTTGTTATCACTGACGACGTAAAACCAGCACAGCATTCGGTTCCAAACGAAATTATTTCAATATAGTAGGTATAGAAGACTGGCTTTTTGTAAATAAAAGGAATTATTGAAACATAATCCCCGGAATATGTAATGCAAGATAAACAATGAGTAATGCAACTTAAGGTTAACATAACTACAAAGCTTTTAAGATATAAGTCAACAAAATTACTAGGACCACCAAAGCACCACCTTGCAGGTCAATGGACAGCGGTTATCACATAATTCTAATAACCTACTCGATTGCCTCCTGTCTCAAAAAAATCAATCAACTTGTGCCATTCATACTAATATAACAAACTTAAACCACTGTATATTCTTTTGTTATATCTTATCAAGATTTCTTTATTATAAAGAAATTAAAAAGTTTATCTTATGATTATTTAGTAAATGTTTTTAACTAAGCTTCTGTTTGTTTCATTCAAAAAAGCAAGTTTAGATAATGTAGGTCTTCTATATGGCTTTTTTTATACCTGTATTCTTCTGTTGTCTAGTATTGCTTTTTAATTACATAAGATACACACAACTCATGGACAAATTGATGGTCCATTTTTGGAAATAGAACAAGGTAAACGGATTTTAAAGTGTATATTAAACTATTTATTAGGTCCACTTTAGTTTTATGTCTAGTAACCTAACACAATTGCTGTTACACTAGAAATGAAAACCAGAAGGTTGACCAGGGTATAGGTATGTGTAGTACCATTTAATGAATCTATATACCCTAACATTAATACATATTTTTAATGATAAATGTTAAATAATTTGCTTTTCGTTGAATTGTGTAGGGTCTTTCATTACTTCTTTTAGGCTCCAGTTTTTCTTTTTTCCAGCTGTTTGCAACTCTTCTTTCGACTTCTGACATGAGTGTTAAAATTTGAATCAATATACTGCTTTTAGTTATTATGGCCTTATTTATTTTATAATTTTAAGAACAATACAATACAAGTTATATATTGATTAATGCTTTAATTAAATATTTGGATGTTTTGTACTTGGTTTATTTCTAGCTCAAAAAAAAACTCAATATATTTGAGCATTTTTAAACATTACCAATCTGCTTAGTTAGCTGCTGGTTCATAGTTCACAAACGGTCAAGTGCTGAGGCAATTTGACACTTCCTGTCTACTGTATTAAATAATTATCTAGTTGACTGTAGTCAAGAATAATAATTTATCATTATAGAAGTTTACTTATATATAATGATAACCAGATAATTAATGATGACAAGAATTGAAATAAACACGATTTTTTATTATTGCTTGTTCATGATTATATTATTAAAGTGTGTTAATAAAAAAAAAACTATTGTCGTAATTAAGTAAAGTATTTGTGTGAGATAGATCTAATTTTAATAAGATCCTATATAGAAAATATGTAAACGTCACAATTCGTAAGCTCCTACACTTTATCTTGACACTGTGTGCTATAATTTCGCGGAAAAAATAAATTTATATGTATTCATACACTTAAATTGCAAATCGCATAAAGAACAGTTCATTCAGAAACAGCTTCATTCGAGCTGGCTTAGGATGACCCCGAAAGCTTCATGTACTTTACAATGAATGAAATAACACTCATTGATTATAGCTGTACAGGGTCATATAAGGGCGGCGGTCTTCTATGTTTCAAATTAATTTTATATTGTTGTAGGTGTTTTCTCGGGTTAGATAGCTTTGTTATAGCAATACAGAGGTTCTATAGGGGAAATAATTATCAATGGATAGGTTTAAGGGCCAAAAATGGCCGGGCAAGGGCCCTGCCTACTCCGCAGGGCGCGACATAGAACACGATAAATTGAATATTACAAGCAAAACTCACTTCTCAGATGCCTCGGTCATGATTCGACACGTCGAATATCCTAATTTCTACTCGCCACTTCACAGATTTCACCATTTTTATGACATAAATACATCAGATTTACTTGTGAACGAGTAATATTTCGGCCCTTTGTTGGGCCTCAATACGCGTGCGTCGATGACAGTCCGGGCGGGTTTTCAATGAATTCAGCGTGCTTGTGCGACAGGTGGCGCGGGAATCGTGCAATATCTCAAGGGACGCGAAGCTATTGGTTGTTTCCAACACGCCTGCAATATCTACCAATCACAGCGCAGTATTCTAGAGTTTAGCCAATGACGTAGTTACTTGACCTAAGTTCACTGAACCGCGGTTTTTTAAAATTATTTGAATAATTCGACACTACACGAGGATTATGAGAGTTATGTTAAAACCAATTATCTTTTCACAGTAAAGGTTTCTCGACAATTGTTTTCGTGATAAATTATTGCAAAATTTTATCTCAAAGATCCCGGAAACGTATTTTACACCGGTATAGAACGCGAACGTAAAGTAGGTCAGATCGCATCCGAGGCTTCGAGGGTTACTGAATGAAACGGTTTGCAACGGGCCCCTCCGTTCATACAGCGCACCATTGAAAAATAAATAGGTCAAATCATTGCAGTGTGGCCCAATTTCGGGTCAGTTGCATGAGGCAGGGCCCTAGCACTTGGTTCTATAAATAGACGCTCTATATTCGGGCAGGTCATGAAATGCAAGCCTCTTTAATGTAGGTTACCTGATTTTCTTTGTTAAAATAGTGACGTAGGTTGTGTATGACGTCAGAGGACTCGATTGAACAATTTTTGACTTTGTAGCGTCGATTATGCAATTTTTTATCCGACATCTTTAAATACGATACAATAGATTTAAATTCTATGTTCTAGATAACAATTATTGCAATACGCGTATCAAAACTCCATTAATTAGATGCTTAGTTTAATACTTTGTTTTAAGAAAACACAAAATAAAATTATATATTTATTCTATTGTTCCTGTTGAACTTGGTTTATAAAATGTATAAGTATAAAACAATTGTACTTAACAGCTAAAATATATATGTTTATATTCTAATGGCAGGATTTTTTCATATAGGATTTATTTTTATTAATTGACATTAAAAACAATTATTAAATGTGAATACTTAAAAATATAAAACATTGATTTATTAAATTTATATACTTATGTAAGTAAAGAACATTTCCCCATCAAGAGCAACAATAATTTAAATTTTCCCCATGAACCATTCCCCATAAACATTACAAATTTTCATATTCCGGAACAGATTTGGTAACAGCAGCCATAGCGCCTCTCTTCGGGTCTTCACTTTGTAAACTCGCTTGGTTGATTAGGTTCTGGAAATACAATGATGTTTTTTATATAAGTATATAATATACATAAAAAACATCATTTCAAGTAAGTACTTGAAAAGGTTCGATTTAGTTCGAATTTAAAAGCTAGGTCATCCACTGTTTTAAATAAGCGCCATCTAGCGGGACCATTAATAAACTCGCGTCTTATAAATTGCTTGAAAACTCATAAATATAACGTCATATCTTTGAATTCATAGTATATTTTGTAGCAAATCTTTGTCTGGAAGAAACCGCTCGTAAACCACAAAGATATTAACTTATTATTGCATATTTGTGATGTAAAAAAAATATAGTGTTTATTAATACATACTTTATTTACATTATCTAATATATAAAATTCTCGTGTCGCGGTGTTTGTAGTTAGTATAGTAGAGTAAACTCCTCCGAAACGGCTTGACCGATTCTCATGAAATTTTGTGTGCATATTGGGTATGTCTGAGAATCGGACAACATCTATTTATCATCCCCCTAAATATTAAGGGTAGTCCACCGCTAAATTATTATTTTTTTAATTTTTAGATAATTTTTATTTTTTTATGATGCAGCATTAAAAAATACATACAACCCCTAATTTTCACCCCTCTACGATTAACCCCTATTTTTCTTATAAATAATATACATGGCAAAACAACGTTTGCCAGGTCAGCTAGTAGTATTTAAATGTGGTGCAACTTCATTATTTTATTTACACAAATTAAACTATATGTTCCGAGTCAATATTAACTATCAAATTAATTGTTTTAAAATATATACCTAATGAATATATATTTTTATTATTTGAATTTCTTGATTATATCATAATTATACATATAGCTAATTTTGGACAATTATTTTTGGTTTGGTGGTTAAAGCAAATTGGGTTCATCCTAAAGAATGGGCCTGGGTTTGATCTCGGCACAACAATAATTGGTAGGCATGAAATCACCTCTTAAATTAATAAATATATGTCCCGGCTGGCGAATCACGGGGCTTTAAATGGCACTGGTCCAATATACTGCATTTAAACTCTAATAAATACGTATTATACATTTTTAGTAATGATGTTTTTATCATTTACTTTTTTTTTCTCTTACTTTCTTTTTAGTAAGTTTGTAGCACAATTGTGACTGTTTTAATGTTTTGTCATTTTTGACTTCCTTATGTTATGTACTAACTGTAATTTAAAAAATATATATTTTGCTTTTACTTTAGTTCCCCAGGGCAAGCGATATATTGTTTCTAAATTATTGTGCAATAAAGTGTAAATAAGTACTTACGATATGATATAATCCATCCTTATTAGGTCTGCTCTGTGAGTAGACCAGGTTGATCTTTGAGTTCTGTACAGCGATGGGACTCTTCTTGGCGATGGAATCAGCAATTTCTAATACTTCTTTGATTGCTCTGAAATTTAAATAAATGTTAAGATTATTTGTTATAAAAAAAAATCTAAAGTTCGGCCTCCATTACTTTTACGTTTCGGATGTTATAGATAAAAAGTATTTATTTGGGGTAGTATAGGGTGAAAGCTTGAATCGGTCCTTTTAGTTTATTTTATAAACAAAAATTTAAATTTTACTCTTTATAAGATATAGGTTAAAAATATTTTCTATAATTTGTCATAATAATTTGCATATGACTTTAGAGATAAAGTATAACAAAGATTAATATAAAACTTCCCTCAGATTGTTGTAAGTTTTCTTTTCGTTTTCTGTATTGATTGCTATTTTTTTAACATTAGTAATTTAAAGTAATTTCGACTGTGAGCCTGTAAGGCACCAAGGTTAATCCTCTTAGTAGTTTTTGTACTTTTAGTTTACTTATAATCCATAATAAAAAAAAAAATAATCTGCAAGGCGTTCTGAAGAAAAGAGCGAGTTAAAGAAAAAAATGTATTGTTCAATTCGTCCTGAACTTTTAAACTCAAGAATATTTCCCCTTTAACTTACTATATTAATTTTAAACTACTTACTTTAAAGTGCTTCAGGTGCGACTTAAGTATGACCTAACCGAGCGAGCTTTGAATATAAAAGAAAATATTTTTTAATAACCACAAATTCGACGGCGTTTGTAGGCACTTAATATATTAATAACGATTAAATGTCATGTAACATTCTTTGGAAAACTGAAGCAAGACCAAGAGGTTGTAGCGCCACTTATTTATTTATTTTATATTTAACACTTACATGCTAACAAGGCAAATATCGTAAGGAAAACGTGTCTACTAAAATTTAAGACATTTGTCAGGTCTATAGGGTTTGACTAAGACTCATTGTAGCGCCATTATGTTATCAAATAATATTATTTAGAAAATGTTGTAAGTAATTACTCACATCTCTTGATTGGGGTATATTCTACTGACGAGTCCCAATTCAAGCGCCTCTTTGGACATCACTTTCCTTGCTGTGTATATAAGTTCACGTACTGTGGAAGTGTTGCCAACTACCTGAAACATTTATAATAAAATAATTAGATATATGTAGTATAGTGATGAAAGATTTTTGAAGTTATACTTCTTTAGGCGCGTTATGAAAAATTGATGAGAGTGAAATTTTACGATGCGCGCGCACCGTGACACAAAATTAATAGAAGTGGCCCACGGAAGATGCTACGGCACTGGACATAATTTAAAATCAACATTCGAATAATAATAGAATTTATGTTACACTTAATGTAAGAGAATAAAAATAAATATTTATTTATTTAATTTTTCAAATGTAAACTGAACTTTATTGACTATAATGACTCCTTTTCCAGTCTTTGATTATTTAATTGTAATTAATTATTTGCATGCAATCAAAAACTATTTTTAATAATGCCAAAGAAGTACATATAACTCCTTACGCGCGTACATAAGTACACGCACCCTTTTTTTTTTCTCTATTTACAGTTGAAGAAAAAGTGAGGTAATAGATATGTTTTAGAAACAAAAACATAATGTCTCAGGCAGATTATTTACCTATAAAAATATGAATGAAATTGAGGCGATACAAATAATTATTACTTTTTGAATAATTATGATTTAATAAATAGTCAAGACCTTCAAAACTCGTATAACTTTATTTAATTACAGTTTTGTGAGTAGTTAACGTAAGGTTTAGGAATATGATAATTTATTTTATTCATAAAATAAATTGCAGTAAATCTTCTTACGTAATACTTGAACGGCCACTTAGCGCTGTCTAATGTCAAACTTTACATAGAAAAATAGCTGAAGATAGACTTAAGTTTGACTTTTAAGAATACGAGCGCGTACCGTATTATTACAATATTATACAATACTCCCCGACACTTGTGGTGCGGGACCTGATTATGTTTACATGCTCTGCATACTTGTTTAGTTTTCTTTTGTTAGGGAACTCGCCGGAGGACTGGACCACTTTTTCAATATTTCCAATATATGAATATTGGAAATATTGAAAGGCGAGGGGGGAGGGGTCCGCATCTCGCAAGTCTAGTAGTTTCTACACTTTGCAGTGAGTTACGTTTAACTATTAGAAGGCTCAATAAGCTTGTTAAAAATTAAAAAAAAAAATACCTTAGGCAATCGTTGCAAAGTGCCAACATCAGCCGCTAGACCAATATCCACTTCTTTCACTTGAAACCATGAGTCTTCAGTACAATATCTGTCAAAGTCAGTTAAATTTATTTGATATTAAGTGTTAGGTGCAAAGCAGTGGTAAGTGGAACAAACAGAAACCAAAGGTTCATTTTCCAGAGATTAGTTTGGGCCAGTGTGATTTACTCAAAAACAAAAAGTGTTATAGTGAATTTTATATATACATTAAAGAATATTTCACTTGTTGATTTAAATACACGAGTGAAATATTTGAATAACAAGTGACACGCAATTAAACATAAAAAAGGCTTAAAGGTCTTGTTACCAGAACATAAAATTAAAAAAAAAACAACACATGAACAGTGGTCTTCCTCTTAAGTGATTTTTAAGTGTCCAATAACACCAGTTACAGTATGTTCTTCATCTTCGTTAATAAAATAGCCTAATTTATAATTTTCAATGTTCAAATTAAATACCATTCAAATTTAAAAAAATAATTCCCTTTATGGTCGCTTTACGCCCGAACCCAATAACCTATCTCAATCCATAATCCACCATCTGATAGTAATCTTAATCCAAACGTTGTAACATATGTGCCAATAACCAATCGACGGATTGTAATAGCCATCGATAAAAGCTATCCATGGGAGGTCGTATCGGTGTCTGTGGATAGACCTTTGTATGAAAATGACAGTTGACGAAAGCTCGATTCCAACAGTTAATTATTTTAACAGATTTTAACTTACACCAGTTTTTTAAATAATTAAAACAACTGTTTGTTATGTTTTAAACATGTATATTTTAATGTTATTTGTACGGTTTGATTTACTTCATTTGGTTTACATTGATTATCAACTCGGTAAAATTGAACGACAAAGAGCATTTTATCCGTCGCCAAAAATGGATTGTCTTCGTAGGGTTTGGTTCTCAAATTGTTTTGAATCTAAGATTGTGGATTGATTATTGGGTTCAGGCGTTAGTGGCTTAGTAATGAGGCGCATAACCTTGATAGAGCCAGGCGAAATAAATAAGATGTGGTAGACATACATCGTAAATAGCAGTTAATGTCATTTAAAAATCAATAAAGCTGCTAGAAATTTGATTTCTCTTACCTCATATCAGCTGCTGTGATCAGGTCCACTCCTGCGCCGACGCAAGCACTGTGCACAACCGATAAAATTGGCTTCACACAGTTTTCGAGGGCTGATATACCATCCTATAAAATATATTTTCCAGTTTAAATATTTAGTATTTGTAGTATAAAATATATAATATTTACTAAATTTATTAGAAATATAAAGATGATTACTGTCGAATTATGTTAAGCCTAAAAATTTTTTTTTTTAAATATAATAGAGGCGCAAACGAGCTTGCGGGACGACCAAAAGGGGCAGTCTTCGCAGCCCATAGACACTCTTTTTTAGTGGGTGCGTTGCCGGCCTTTGAGGGAGGAGTACACTCGATTTTTAAACATTTGGGGGTCGTATCTCTGAGGGAAGACCCCCTCCGGGAGTCGATTCCACAGTTCGCTAGTTCGCAAAAGAAAATGCCTTGTGAAACGGACTGTGCAAGACCTCCAACCATCAAGATGATGTTGGTGAAATTATGATATGATAAAATAAATAGAGTAAGCTAGATCTAGGCAAATGCTTTTTTGTATCCTACGACTCATACCATCGCAGTCTGAGCTGTACCATGAGTTTGACAAAGATTTAAACGCTATCCTGAAATACATACAAAAAAACATCCTAGTTTTGCAGATCTCCAGCGATCGTAACTTTTCTAAAACAATGTTTGGCACAGAGTTATACGCTAAACTCATGGTAGATAGCGTGAACATAGATGAAGTGAGTTTTTAACATTGGGTAAACCAATGTTTGTAAAAATAAATAATAATAAATCAGTGGCGCTACAACCTCTTTAGGTCTTGGCCTCAGATTTCTGAAACTGTTTCATGATAATTTTTGAATCTAATAGGCAAGATCAGCCTCCAGTGCCTGACACACGCCGTCGACTTTTTGGGTCTAAGACATGTCGGTTTCCTCACGATGTTTTCCTTCACCATTCGAGCAAAATGTTACATGTTAAATGCGCACATAGAAAGAAAGTCCAATGGTGCGCAGCCGGGGATCGAACCTACGACCTTGAGAGTCGCACGCTGAAGCCACTAGGCCAACACTGCTCTGTATAAACCAATGTTTGAATGTGTATAAACGATTTTGTTAAATATTTATATTCTTATAACAGGTTTCTTTAGGGATTTATTCTATGTTGATGTAATAATAGTTACCTGACATTGGGTAATAAATTTCTCAAATGCTCGCGCTCGTCTGCCAACATCTTCTATATCATCTAATTTAGTTCCTTCTTCAAGAAAACTCTTAAAATCAATACCTGAATAGGACGTCAATTTATTGTTGATTAAAAAATCAGAATGAAATCTTTAAAAAAATCATACAATTATACATGCTTATCAAATCTAGGGACACTTTGCTTTTGAATTAATGCCTAAAGAGATTTTACATTGCTTAACAGAAAAATTTTGCTCACCACCAGTAAAATGTTTTCCTCTTCCAGATATAACAATTACTCTGCATTCAGAATTATCACTCAAAGAAGAAAAACAATAATTTAGTTCCCTGTAATAATTAATTAATTAAAATGTATAACTAAAGACAGTCACATGATAAGATATATAAAGTTTAAAATAGCAAAGAACTAATAAAAAAATACCACTTTACATACAACTTCTTTACACTAAATACATCCAAGCCTATTGCAAAAATGCTCAGGGGGTATACTTAGAATAAAATATGGTTGGAACTCATTCTTAAGATGTTGTTTTTTTTTTATTAGATGCCAGTAATAATTTATCTAATAAAATGCAGTAAAAACGTCATTAACTAGTAACTATTATAGGTATACAGGTATACAGCCCTGTTAGTGTAGCCCTGTAGTAATTTTCTCTCTTTGATAAACAATGTATAAAAATGCTGAAAATGTGGCAAAGAAATTGTGAGCCCCGGGCTTTATTTTACTATAAAGTATATCTTACTAGCATGACTCTTATTTAGATGAAAATATATGAATTTAGATACTTAATAGTCCTGAGGTGTGTAAATGTAATTGTAAATCATGGTTAACAATATTATACATACTTCCACATAGTCATAGAAAATGTATTAAGTTGTTTAGGCCTGTTCATTTCAACATGGAAAACATTCTTTTTAGGCACTGACACAGCTAATGTCTCAAACTGTGGAACTTCTGTTGAATATAATCTTGATAAAGCACCTGGAAATGAGAAATTTCTGGTGTTATAATGAAAAGTTACACTAAAATTGACAAATTATACTATTTATTGTTACGAAAATGTTATTTTTTGCTTTTTGTTATTCAGAACCTATGCTATTACCGGTGAAGAAGAAGCGTCTTACAATAAGCTAAACAGCTATACAGCTTCTATAGAAGCTTTTAAGACACATATGTATGTTTTATTAAGCTTATTTACACCATTAGATCAATACAGGTACCCCTAGTGATTGATTAAGCAAGAATTGTTGTTACCTGGCGCTATTTTTGCCGGTCTGCATAACACGAAAGATCTTGCTAATTGGAACACCATTTTCTTGTTTTAGGCTATGTGGACATGAAATCAACAAAATGGAAGTATCTAATTAGTATAAATTATGTTGATAGTATAAAACCTTTTTGAATAAAAAAAGATCAAAGTCCAAACTCTGATCACCGACCGCGACGTAAACACTAAACAATTTTAAATTTGATACATTGATGTTCGAAACTTCTGTCAACAACTAAAAGTTATTGACACTGATGTATGACAGTTTTGACACTGATATTTCGGAATTTGTTTCACGCAAACAAAATATGTCTGAATAAGTCAAATTGAGTTCAATTTGCAAATAGTAACCTAATAATTTATTTAAACAAATTTAACACAGTTGCTTTTCAAAATATTAATATAACATATTGACAAGAGTGACAGTTTGTTTCTACTAATTGCTAATGTAAACTACGAATGATATCATTAAAATATCGAGGATTAATTTATAATGTTCATGATTATTGAAACATCCTTTGAGGCTCCCAGATGGTAAAAAATTTATGTGTTTGTCCACATATATCCAGAAATAATCACCAGATTCTAGTGTTTAATGAATTAATCCGCAAATTTTTAAAGTAGGGTCATCCTATCCGACAAATTATATGGTATTGCGATGACATCACAGGAAACCGAGTTTCCGACACTGATCAAAGCGGCATATTATTTTTGGTTTTCATTAAAATAATAATTTGGCAATGTGAAATCTAGGCTCAAGGTCTAGTCAACTAGGCTGTCTACATTCTCACTAAACAATAAACTTCTACAGTAATGAAATGTATGTTTGTTTCTAAAATGAGAGAATTAAAAGAAATTTACAATTTGAAATTTTGAAAAAGCTTAAACTAACTTAAAAATGCACAAAAAATATGTATTGCAAGTACGTACGAGGGCAATCTAAAATGGAAATCATATATTCAAAGGTTTATCAGGTCCGAATTTACCAAATTGTGCTTTTAGATAATAAATACACGAAAAAGACGATTTCGCTAGGACAAAGCTTTCCAGTTTTCCAAGTAGCTCTAAGCAACTAGCTGTATTTGGGGAACATAATATATAAAAACTTCGATGAATTGACTGGATTGATTCAAATGGAGATTTGAAGTCTGTTAAAATCACTGGCCTTAATAGCCCCGAGAGTAAAATATATTTGTTATTAATATATTTAAGGTATTTCGGAGTAAGTAAGCACTATAAAGAAATAATCTAAATTTCTTTCTCCACTGTTATGCTAGTTCTTCTACTAAAAGCATACACAGAAGATATTTTTTAAGGACACCACTAGTGACACCTTATGTCTTAAAGGGGTGTAGCAATACCGATCTTTGGCTACTAATTATACGATGACGTCATACCCTGAAACGCGCTTACAAAGTTATTGGGATATAATATACAACTTTTCAATCGTAGACACAGGTCTTCGGGCCAGTCAGTTACTGGTCGAAGATCCTCTGTTTAGGTCGGAGGAAGAGCAGCAACATTCTTCATCTACAGGAGTAATTATTAATCATAGCAGAAACACTTCAACGGTATCAAATAGTAGGTATTTTTAAATCATTTTGATGCAAGCGAAGCCGCTGTCAAGCGTTAGTTTTATATAAATGAAATTAATATATTTCAGTAGAAAAAGTCGACCTAGGTCACTTTCACCGAATTCTTAGAATTTATAATGAACATTTTCTAGGCTACACCACAATAGCATAAACAGACTGTTATGGCGATACCATAAATCATAGACCAATATGGTAAGTTTAGTCATAGATAATTTTTAATTTTTTACTACCTCCTTTTGTTAGACTCTCTCTCTGGCGATTATTAAAAGTGTATTTAAAGGAAACTTTAATGGCATTTGCGTGTCTTTCTCAGCGCAATTACTTAATAAATATTTTTGAATATAAATTAATAATGTGATGTTGATTATGGATTTTGATTAGGATTAAAATAGCTTAAAAAGTACCTGTTATTGCATGTATATGAAATGATAATTATAATTCTTGTCATGTTTAAAAAGTGAATCACTTTCGAAGGCTTCCATAGCGGATCAAGTGTGAACCTTGAAGCCTTAATACGTATGAATAAAAATTATTTAGGATTGCAGGACATTGTACTATCCAGTGATTCAATATTATAGCGCTGAAGATGCTCCGTATACCCACGTTATACCAGTACCACGAACACTAACCGTGACTTTTTAGGAATAAAATTTTTATTTCTAAAAAGACAAAAGACATCGAATAATATCCAGCTAGAAACGGTTTTTATTGGAAAATGCTTGAATTGAATTGCTATTTTTAGTATATTTCTTTATTTACTATTTATATGATGGTTTGAATGGTGGGGGTTTCGCATTAACCGTTTAAACATTCCAAAGCTTCCGCAAACATTTCAAGATCATAATTAGCCAAATCGGTCCAGCCATGCTCGACTTTTAGCGAGACAAACGAACAGCAATTCATGTTATATTTATAGATAATACTTAGTCACATAAACACGGGACTTTTTGATTAAATCTTATGGTGACTAAATTATTTTCGTTTATAAAACCGCAAAAACAGACATTTTGGTTTTCCTTACATTGATTTTATTTAAACGAACAATGAAAACCACAGGTAATTAATACAAATCACAGACGCCTAATCTTTAGCTGTAGTCGAGTCATCCATTTAATTATTTATAATGGTAGATAAATCATCACGGTAATATTTTCAAGGAAGAAAATAAACCCACAATGTTTAAAGAGTGTGACATTTTCTTTTATTACTCATATCTACTCTATGACGAGATTAATAAATAATTATGTGATGTACATACTTTTCGTTTTGTAATCAATTGCGAAGATTGAAAATTAGGGAAAATGATTTACAGATACATGTAATAAGTATTCTTCTGTTTCTCTTACGCTTAAATAACAAACAAATGTATGTTAAAGATACATAAGTCTCACTTGTATACCATTTATTGCTCATTGAAGTAATGAGTTAAAACATACATGTTTAGCAGGTTCAAATGTCAATGTTAATTGGATCATCAGTAACACTTATTGCACAATGTGGTGGAGCCATGAAATTGAAATGGAGTTGTATTGAATTATTTTAGTATATCCCCTAGGTGGCAGAGGGTGTCCAAAATGCCTTGCCATCGCGTTCTTTCTTGAGCCGAGAAAATTACTTTGGACCACGTCAAAACAATGGCTTGTGCCTCAACCACAACTGAGCGTCGCCAGGATTGTTTGTTTGGACACGTTTACTTTTAACTTGGGGAGTCCAATCTTTTGACTGTTTGGGGATGTGGATGTGCTCGAAGAGTGTGTTCGATCTATCTCCACTTCAACGTCGGATCGGGTGGCCGATTGGCTCTTCCCAGCACCGGTCCTGTTGTTGTCTCACCCCTGCTGTTTCTAATCGCTTTAGACGGTGTAATACATGAGGTGTGCGATGGTAAGCGACGTGGTATTGATTGGGGGTTAACCGACCAGCTTGATTACGCAGATGACTAATGTTTACTTAGTCACAGACACGAAGATATGCAAGCCAAACTGAACGGCCTGGAGAGCGAAGCAGCTAGGGAACCCCAGGAAATGCGCACTGAAGGAAGAAAACAAAATGCTCTGATACTCAGCTATTAGATATTTTCTTGTGTCTAGTGTCGTGTCAGAGTCCGGTGGAATTAATAATTATATCTCCTTCCGGATAGCCAAAGCCACCTTCGCACAACTGCGCCCCTTATTGCTAAAAAACTCACACGTGGAGTGATAATTAATCTAATTTCTTTTCTCATAGATGTTTGCTCTATGGATGCAAAACGGGGAAATTTGCAAAAGCCACGCAACTTTTGTTAACCGGTGTCGGACAGATCCTGGGAATCCTCTGGCTTGAGGGGGTATATTAGATATTACTAAAAGTCAAACTCTAACTATGAATCGATCAATTTCCGGACCAATCACAATGAAACTAAGCGTGTCCACTGTAACAATTTTTATTAAACAATATAAGGAGTAGCTTGTTGGAATCCCTGAGATCAATCAACTCATTTGCGATGAGCGACTATCGAACGAAACGGGTAATTCCCCGTCGCTTATTTTCAGTCGGTGTATTTTTTCGCGTGTGTGTTTTTTACGGGGGCTTCCCCGTAATAGCCCAGAGCCCCACAAATTCACGGTCACGCCCATGCCATTGCCCCAGGCCCCTTCCTCTTGGGTGACTTAAAACGTAAAAAAGGAAGGAAATAAAGTTCTTTGAAAGGTGTGACTGTTTTTATTTTTTTGTTTCTAAAAATCGTTTTATGGCTCCTCGTTAATAGCTAAGGTCACCCCGATAACATTACAGCAATAAAAATGTAGGAAATTAGGTTTCGCTTTTCATACAACTAGTTTAGTTAGGTATAAGTGTATAACTAGCTGAATTAAATTTTTTCCTTCCCTTTTTGTATTACCATTTCCTCTTCTAGGGTATCTAAATATACTACATATTCCCCTGTATTATCCAATCTCATTCTAGGACAAATTTTATACAAATTAAAAGTGGTATTCCGTACTGTCGGTTTTGAAAATACCTACAACAACAAAAACTACTTAATTCACAATCTGGTCTTGAGCGCTGTCAAACGTAATGGTTTGATGGCTATTGAATCTAGATTTAAGTTTGATTGACGTTCTAGAAAACGGGTATTAACGCTATTCTCAAATATCATTAACTTTGTTTATAATAAAAAAATAATAGCACAACAACTTAATGTGTCCCGAATTCTATTACCAAGAAAACAATGTTTATGTTCAGTACAACATACACAGTATCGGTTTCAAAAATATCGGCCGAAAAATCACATATTTGTATAACATGTGCACATGAACCATTCTGCGCAAATAATTTAAAAGCCGTACAGGATTTGTAGCGATAGAATTACCAATTCATGACTAAGTACGTATTCATTTAAATGAACTGTGATTTTGTGTACCCATTTCACAAACTTTTGTTTACAAATACGGATAATAGTATGGCTAATAT